GGCTGGGTCGTGGAGGGTGGTGCCACCTAAGATGAAATGACACCATGTCCAGCAGCGGCGAAAAGCTGAAAAGCAAATCCAAGATCGGCACTGTTTTCGTAAACGTAGATGTCGCGAATATCCTACCGCACGCTGGTGGCTCTTTTGAAAAGGAAGCTTGAAGCACGTGAACTGGCAGGCCTGTCCACGGAAGGTAACGTCGCCGTGACAAATCGCCTGGCCGAGCGGAACGGACCAAACAGCACAACATCGCCATGTCCGTCTAAGCCTGCATCTTGTCGTGTTTGTCGAACGTCCGCACGCACCTGACTGGCTTGAAGCACCCGATGATCGGAACTTGAGACTGCTTGGACCAATCCGGGTTTGCGACCCCAGAACAAGGGTCCCCGGAGGCCGGTTGATGCTTCTCACGTGGCAGACTCAAGTGGCTTAAAACATCACGTCTTTGATGTAGTAGCCCTTCAGTCCGACGGCTGCCTCGACCTTGACGTCGTGGCTTTTTTCGGACGTCCAGGCTACGCACGCCAACACGGCGTCGGCTTGCATGACCACCGTGACGACGCAGTGGTCCTTGTTCAGCGCGGCTTGAGGAAGCCGAGCTTGACATCTCAGGGTCAAAGGCATGTGGCTAGCAATGTGGCCTTGTCAACAACATGCACTTTTCGGCACCTTCTAAGGGGTCTTGCATTTCGCCGTGGTTTGAGGGAAGGGTTTCTGTGATGCACTTTGGGTCCAGCCAACACGCCTATATCCTCGTCCACCCAATATACTTACACCCTTCGCAGACAGCACTTTCTCTGTCCAACGGGCTGCCCCTTTTTCAGTGGTCCAAGCCCCGAACTGTCCATGCAACGGTTAGGGGAAACTACACAGATGGGACAAGCTGTTTTGTTGCTACAAAAGCGCTGTCTTGAGCCGAGCGCACTGCGCCGGCTCAACAATGAGAGCGATCTGACACGTCAGTGCAACTGTACATGCACATCATGCCATCTAAGGGTTTTGCCTGAACCCCTTAAACAAGCAGCATCCATCAAATCACCATTCAGTATCCGTGTTACAAAATTCCATGTCCACGTTCTATCCACGTTCATGACGACGCCCAGGAAGTAGATATCAGTTCATCCTCATCACCCAAAAGGCAAACGGCCGGCCTCCTATCTCAAAGCAGCAACATTTGCGTAGTCGAGCCCAAAACCAGTTTTGGTAGTGAGTCAGGCAATGCCTGCATGTACACTTTGGAGGTCCAAGACGTGCCCTGGACCAGGCGGCGACGGAATCGGCAAGCACTGTTTTACCATAGACAAATGCACAACCTAATGTTAACTGTATTCTGGCCAGACAGGCATTTTGATATTGAGGGTGGGGGGGGGGGGAAGCGACTACACTATCAATGCTGACAGCAAACTTTTTCACGACCTGCTGACTCCCTGGTTGCAAGGCGGCAAAATGGGCCACTCCACACGTTGCAATGACGGCATTCAGGGCAAAGCAGCTCACTGCATGCGCACGCCGAATTATTCGTGCGTGGACCTTCTGTTGCCCATGACTCTAAACGGCCCACTAAAAGGGCCGGGGAACAGCGAAGTCTAGCTTCAAGTGTCCACGTCGAAAAGCCTTCGTGGCACAGCTCACGAAGCCTGTCGAACTTGGACTGGCACAGGCTCTGTGAAGAAGTACCTGTGGACCTGCGCTGGCGCACCTTCGCGTCTCGCCTCTACATCATCATCATCATCATCATCACCATCATCATCATCATCATCATCGAGTCACACGTATCCAGTCAACCTCGTCATACGTCCAGCCCCTGACATACAACAGGCAGAACTCGAAACTTATCCACATCAACTCCTGAAGTTTCCCCCTGCTTCTTTTCTTCGATGCGCCAAACATGACACAAGCTCACGGGCACGTGCTTTCCATGGCTCTGGAGCAATGGGGGGGCGCACGGCGGCCTAAATCGTTTGGTCCAAAAAGACTCATGTTCTTCAATCCACTGAGGTAAGTTGCCGACGTTTCTCCGCCAAAGCTCCCGATTGTCGCGGCCCGCGCACTTCCCGTCCGATACTGTAACGCCAAATTATATTGTTGCTGGCCTCTGTAACGTGTGAGACAAGAGGCGACCCAGACAGCAGCAAAAACGAGGCAATGACACATATCCCCCATAGCGTGCTATGTCGCGCATGTGGGCTGCAGACATGTTACAAGACAAGCCTTTCTCTATAATCCCTTCCTACAAATACTTTCCTACAAATACTAAGCCCCTCGCTAATGTTAAATATTGTTTTTTCCAACCCTCCCGGCACCCAGCCCAATACGAAACCTGTTTCAGAATTGGGGGGGGGGGGGGGAGGGGTGAGGGCTTCCGCCCTTGAGTTGAGCCATTAGGGTTTTCAGGGTTTAGGGCTTAAGGCTCGGAGGATTTTCAGGGTTTAGGGCTCAAGGTTCAGGGGTTTGAAAAGGTTTAAGTTTACGTAGGCCGTTTAGGCCCTTTGGGGTTTAGGCTCTAAGGACCCCCCGCCCCCCCAAATTCTAAAACTTTTCCCGCCCAGGCGAATTTTAGAATTACGGAGGGGGGGCGGGGGGTTTTAGTGTTAGGGGGAAGGGGTTATCGAGTGTGGTGGACCAGACAAGTTCCCTAATATTTTTACAGCTCGGAGTGAGTTCAGACTGCTGGACATATCCATGCCCTTGGGGTGAATCAAGTGCTGCTTGTCCCTTGCAACCCACAGGATGGCACTTCCTTTGGGACTGTAAAGCCATTTGTGCCCACTAGCCACATAAAACTCTGCACGAATGTTTGGAATGTTCAAGGGGGCTTGGCCCAAAGCATGTGCCAAATCGATCAAAACCATGACACCTTTTTGATGGCATATCTGCACACAGACACCCCCCCTGGCTACAGCATGAACGGTGGGCAAACGTGCTCTCTCCCACTCTCTCTCTCTCTCTCTCGCTCTCTCTCTCTCTCTCTCTTGGCCATTTTCTGGCGGCAACACAGTTAGGTGTGTCCCACATTGACACAGCTTAATGCCGGACCAAAGGTCTGCCTTATCGACCGTGCAATGGACACTCTCGTTCTGCGACACAGTCAAAAAGTCTCGCTCTCTCTCGCTCCCCCTCTCTCCCTGTCACTCTCCCTCTCCCTCTCTCTCTCTCTCTCTCTCTCTCTCCCCCACGCATGACCCCCCCGAAGGGAGGCCGCCCCCAGGGCGCGTGCTCCCTCTCCCTCTCTCTCCCTCTCTCGCGTACATATACTACATTTCCATACAGGACAGTGCCCCAAACCTTCTGCCCCCCCCCCTTTTTGGAGCGCGACGGTGTCCAGCTTGTCCAGTCTTCGGGCCTTCAGGGGGCTCTCAAAGGAGGTCTCAGGAATCTCGGGCTCAGCCAGCTTTGGAGGCACCTCCAGAAGCGACACAGCGACACACAAGCGACACACACCCGACACAGGGTTACCTGCAGGGAGGGGTGAACGTCGAGGCTTTCTGCTTTCAAGCATGCCATGGGGCCACGGATATTATAAAGTGTGGGTGTCTGTTAAACGTTAAACTGCTAAAGCTGCTAATTATGACTGTAAAGGATAAGAACATACAAGAACTGTTCTCGGATTCCAGGGCCCCGCACTTCGGGTGAAGCACCGAAGCCCCTGGCGCAACAGCTCATGCGATGTCTGCTTGTTTAGATCTCGACATCCCATCCCTCCGGCGGCCTGTGGAAGTGGGCGCTGTGTGCTCGTGGGGGGAAAGCCTCCGCCTGACAGGCAGGAAGTGAGAAGCAAAGCACTTCAGGTTCTCCCCGGCTGTGGCAGCGGGCAACCTTGCAGAGTCCCAATTGCGTTCAAGGTTTCGTGGGGCTGCCAACACCCTCTAAAGTTTCCGACAGCTCCAAAATGCCGGGGGTCAAAGGGGCAGCTCTGTGCCTTGTAGCCCTCGCCGAGGACTTCACAAAGGCCTGAGATCAAGTGCAGCCGTTCTTCCGGCGGCCCTTTTGGCCCTTGAGGGGGCGCTTCCGTGGGCCTTGCCCTCGCTCAGTCCCGATTTCATTCTTGGTTCCCATGATGTCAAGTCATGGTGTGGTTTGCAACACCTGACCTTTGAGACCTTGCGCGTCGATCTATGGGGGCGCTTGCGCTGACCTTGCGCGCGTGGAGTTCTAGCAAGCTTCTTTATCCTCTGGTTCAGCGTCTACCGAAGCAACAAGCAAAGCAGGTTTTTTGGAGCCCTACGGTTGCGACTGTATAGGAATTGAACAAGCGCATGTCATGGCCTGCCATGGACTTCGCGGAGGCGAGCTCACGGCTGATGGTCTTCAGGCTGCTGCCCTTCACGGAGGAAAGCAGGGGAACATTCAAAAGAGTGACAGGTCGGTGCCCGTTCCATGCCTGGAAAGTGGTGGGCACAAGCACGCCCGTGCCAGCTACCATCATCTGTCCAAGGACCCACTTCCTGAGCGTGCTGAGGTGCTTTTGCGCAGCTAATTGGCTGCTTCTGCGCTGCTTGCATCATGACCAGCCGAGCTCCACGGCGTGTTTTGGTAGCTGGCATTGGTGGCCACAGCCGTGCGCACCTGCGCGGACGCTTCAAAGTCACATGGAGATGACACCGATGGCACAGCAGGGTCACCTCAGCATTTGCCATGCCTTTCGGCCTGGGCATCGGGCATAGGAGCGGATCATCTCCTCGAAGCCGGGTGCTTCGACGCCTCCGACTGCTTTAGCTTTAGCACCTTTCTACCGCAAGAGATGCTTGTAGAGCTTTGGGACTACTTTTCTTGCTTTTCTCAGCCGCCACGGAGACGCCACCCGGCCTTGTCGGCAAAAGATGGTGGGATTCCACAGAGCGCCCCTGGCGACTCGAACTCGAAGCAAATGCGTTAAGCTCTGGGATGGTCTGGTCTGGGGGAGTGCCTCGCGATCATGATGCCGGCTGGCCCCGTGGGCCGGCCCCCAGCCTCTGAACCGCGGAACACATCAATCAAAAAGGGAGCCGAAGGAGAAATTCTCAGAACCTTCTCAGAGCCACAATACGCATCACGACATTCTCGTATCGGTCCTGTGCCTGTGCCGCCCCATTTGGATCGGTTGCGGCACAATGCTTCCTGAGTCCCTCCGTCTTCACTGCGATGCGTCTCGATGTACTCAAAAAGAGCTGAGGCACCAAAACTCGGCGATCTGCCGGCGGTTGAAGAAATCGCCGTTGGCCAGGACTGGGATCTGCACCGCATCCCACCTAGCAGGCCCCGCAGTTCGCAACAAGTAGAAGGCCATGTATTCGCCTCGGCTTCCGGCCCAGAGGCGTCTAGAACAAGCAGACCAAGATCTGGTCTTCTTTCCCCCCTTCCCATCTGGGAAGACAGTGAATCCAAGAGTTAAGGAAAATTAACTCTGAAGTTAATTGACCGGCATCGGGCCGGCTCGACGCCCCTTAGGTCCAGCACAATTAACTCTCGATTTAATTGCCTGTTAACGTCGCGCGACGCAGCATGCCATGCCGGCAAGCTGCTCAAGGAACAATTCATCAGGATTTAATTGTTTCTGCTAGACGATCCCAACCCGCAGAAACAATTAAATCACGATGTAATTGTTCCCCCCTACCTTTCAACAACTAAATCATGGTTTAATTGTTCCCCCTAAAGTAATAGTAATAATAATAGTAATAATAATCATAAAAATAATAATAATCATAATAGTAGTAATAGTAAAAATAATAAGAGTAAAAATAATAATAGTAATAGTAATAATGATAATCATGGGAATAATGATAATAAGAATAATAATAATAGTAGTAACAATAATAAGAAGAAGAATAGTAATAGTAATAGAAATAGTAATAGTAATAGTAATAATGATAATAATAGGAATAACAATAATAGTAGTAATAATCATAATAGTAATAACAATAAGAAGAAGAAGAATAATGATAGCAATAGCAATAACAATAGTAATAGCAATAGCAATAACAATAGCAATAGCAATAGCAATAGTAATAGTAATAGTAATCGTAATAGTAATAGTAAGTAATAGTAAGTAATAGTAATAGTTATTCGAAAAATCGTAATAAGAAGAAGAATAAGGATAATAATAGTAGTAAACATAATAATCATAGGAATAGTAATAGTAATAGTAATAGTAATAGTAATAGTAATAGTAATAGTAATAGTAATACGAATATTAATAGAAATAATAAGACTAATAGTAATAGTAATAGTAAGACTAATCGATAAGACTAATAGTAATAGTAATAATCATCGTGCAATTAAATCATGATTTAATGGTGCAAACAGGTACCAATTAGCACAAGTCTTTGCTACACCATTAACTCACGATTTAATTGTCGTCCAGTCAAACGCAAAGAAACACAATTACATCACGATTTAATTGTGTTTTTGTAGGGATAAGGTATGTCGAGGTAGGTCAAAACCCAACCCAGAAGCAACAATTAAATCAGGATTTAATTCTTTTTAACTTCTGGATCCATGGGTTTTCTTCCCATCTGCCCCCAACCTCGAATTATGGGACCCCTTGAGTGTCAGCTCTTCGGGAATTCCAGTACTAGATGTTTGCAACTTTTATCAACTTTCCCTCTTCTTCTCCTTCTTCTCAGCACTTAGGAGTCCCCCCGGGAGAACTTTCCCTCTCTCTCTCTCTCCTTCTTCCTCCCTCTCCTTCTCCTCTCTTTTGAAGTCCAAGCCGCAGTCGGGGCAACTCGTCCCAGTGCGCCGGCTCCGCCGGCCGCTCCTGGCGCTGCCGGAGGTGCACCTTCCCGACTCTGAGATGCTTCACAAAGGGGGGAAAAGAGACATGAGACGTCATGAGACAGTAGGACTGAGCGAAAGGACACAAGGAGAGGAGCGCAAGGAGGTGCTTACATGCTTGAAACAGGGAGATTGTGCCCAGGTGCTGTAATGGCTTCGGCGCCGCTCCGCTCGCAAACCTGCATGAAGTCACGCCTCGGGGCTTGCCGGCCACACTCACGGAGCTTCTCACAACATCCCACAACATTCCACAAGCTTCCACAGCACAGGGCAGGGATGGGCAGCCAGCAGCGCATCTTTCCGCGTACATAATAAGAGTCCAAGCATCGTCTTCTGCGTGGACGGCAGCATGCGGATCTTGCACGTGAGAGTGGTCTGCCTAGGCGTCGCTGCGTCGATTGAAATGGAGAGAGCAACAGATGAGCCACAGGAGCCGAAGGGGAGTCCCTTGCGTGCAACTCACGCGAGCCGAGTCCAAGCCGGGTCCGAGGGGCGGCGGCAGCTCCCTCCGCAGCGTCTTCAGGAGCTCCGCCGCCAGCGCGGGCCTTTTTTTTGGACAAGAGGACTGGGGAACCGAAGTCAACACAGCAGACAAAAAACTGTAATTTGTGAGCTTCATGCGCCCGGCCCCCACAGCAGCAGCCTGCGCCGGCCCCCGCGGTGCGAAACCCTCATGCTTTCTTTCCGAGGTGCTGGTCCAGCAGCGCCGCCCCCATGCCGCCCTTGACGCTGAAGGACTGCGAAGGACTGGCACAAGGACCAAAGGTGACGGGTGAGAGGGCAAGAAAGGCTCGCGTGCCCGACCTTGGGACAGCCCATGTTCAGGTCGATGCCCGAGACCTGACACAGAGGACAGGAGCTCACGTCCACACGATTCCACGCATGCAGCTCCAAGAGGAGGAGTGGGAGGGAGAGAGAGACAGAGAGGGAGAGAGAGAGAGAGAGGAGAAACAAAGAGTGGCCGGGAGGCTGGGAGAGGCAGAGAGTTCGAGAAGAAGCGTGCGGGGGGCTTCGCACAAATGAGGCTGTACTTGTTTGTACGACTTGTACCACGGCATACGAGCTCTGACCTGTTCTCGTGGTGGCAGGTGTCCCTTGTTAATATCCTTTTGAAAATGATGATAGCAACCCGTCTTAAGCACACTCGCTAGACTAGAGGAAGACCAGCAAGTGGGGAGCGCCTTGCAGCACTCCGTCTCGCAACCATTCTTCTGAGTCCCGGCCCTAAGCCCTAAGCCCTAAGCCGTCTTTGCTTCTTTAAACCCCCAATCTCTTCTGAACTTCACTGTCTTTGCAGTCTCATTTCTGCTGGGCGCGTCGCATCCCTGCAGACCGTGTGTGCCGCCTGGCCATACTTGGGGGAATTGGCTTCTGCACAACCGTTTTTGTTGAGGCGACAAAGCAGTTTCAGGCAAGCAGTGTCACGGCTTAAGCAGTTTGAGGCATAGCCGAGTCTCATATTAATGCTGGCGGAGGCCTCCACAGCCAGCCCAGGGTTGGCCTCGCAGTCGGAAGGGTTGTAAGAAAGCTAGCACGAAAAGGCACTCAACAAACACTTGCCAGTTACTTGTAGTGTCCTGTGCTATGGGTTCGGTAGGGTTCTGTAGGGCTCTGGCAGTGCCGAGTTGGAAGATCACCTTCGACCTCTGGCACAAAGGAGGCCCGGGTCGGCGCAATGCACAGCATACTTCTCGCTCTAAGCTACGAATATCAGAAACAATACTGACGGAGACGGCCCGGTTGCTCCAACAGACAACATATGCGAAAGGGATATGTATACTTGAAAAAACTCAACGCCGAAAAACTCTGGGGCCCCCAGGCCTCTCCTCGGCGCACGTGGAGAAGACGGCCGCCTGCCTCGGGTCACACTTACTTGACCTTCAAAAGAGCGGTTTAACACTCCGGAAATCAACCTGAGGGATGCATTTCACATGTCTCGGCAACAGCTCTCCCCCCTTTTTTCACTTTGCACTGCGTCTCAGGGCCGTCCTCTCCTGTTTCACTCGGGTGGGACGCTCTGGCCACGAAGGAGACGCTTCAGGCGCTCCTTCCAGCAGGAAACCCTTCATGTTCATCGGGAACCTCAAACACCCTGGACCCTGTGGAGATCTGTGCCTTCTCCGGGTTGAAAGGCAACGGAGGCCGCAACGCCCTTTTCAGGCGCTCCTTCTCGGGATCATAGACCTCCAGGACGTTGGTGAGTTTTGTTGTACGGCATGAACACATTCTTAGCATCCTGTCCTTCAGCAGATACGTGATAGCATTGCAGCACGCCGCGGAGTACATGCTTCAACTTGGGGCGACAAGGACTCCAGCACACCGTGCACATCCATCAACACATCCAGCCGGAGTTGGGAAACAGGCTTTGATTATTCACCAAGTGGTTATGTACTAGGTCTTGTTAGGTTAGGTGCTCATTGAGGGTCCCGGGGCTTCAGATCTTCGTGTTTCTGGTTCCGAATTTGTGGCTCGAGGCCTGGGCCACGATGGCCCGGAAACTAGTCAGGTGCAGCCCCAGCGAAGATACCAAAGACATATTCTTACAGCAGAGCTTTTGATGCTTATCGGACGCAGCCCATGTTCAGTATACACTTACCCTATTTTCCCCTGACATCTCCCCCAACCTTGGGCTTGGGTGCACGAGGCAGCGCGGGCAGTGGGTTGCCGTCGGCGTCGGTGGCGCTGGGCCGCTGGAAGCGCTGGGGCACCGGGGGCGCCTCTTAAGGGGTTCAGAGCCGCTTCGCAGCTTGAAGGAACAGAGCAGCGCTTAAGTCTTCACTGGGCTCAGTCAATCGGACTGCTCATACTCTTCTGAGCTGTTGCGTATGCATGATACCTTTATAGGACCTATAGGCTGGATGCCTCGTACTCCGGGTGCACAGACTCGTGGAGGTAGAGCCGCCCGCTGTCGCGTGGCACGATTTGGTCATGGCGGCTGGGCCAACCATCGAAGCCCACGCGGATCTCCGTCTCGTAGGCCTCCCGCACAGTCGCAGCCCACCAGCGCTCCTCGAACAAAAACCGCAGCCGGGTGCTTACCTCAAGCTCACCAGGCTCCGGCCGACGTGTGGGCGGTGGATTCCAGGTCGGCAGGAGTGGCCGCAGCTGGTCCCGCGGTTTCAGGTTCACGTCCATGGGGCCGTACCGCACTGGCTCCTCAGAGGTTTGTGCTTGTTGCACACCCCTGGCAGATTGAGGTGTCGCGGGGGCCGTGGAAGGTGGCCCGGGCGGGGCACCGGGCGTGGTGGGCGCGCTGGGCGCGCTGGGCCGCTTGTGCAAGTGCGGCGACTTCGGAGGACGGGCCACCGTGGCCAGGCCTCGACAGCCTCTCGCCAGAAGCGGCTGCCACACACTTCGTGCGATACATTGAATCATGGCGCTTCAGATTGTGGGAGGAATGCCGGATGTATTGTATTCCAGTTGCACCGCTTCAGATCATTTCAGGTCAAGGTGCATTAAGAAAAGCTATGCCGATGGTTTGCATGTAGCAAGAAAGGCTTGATGCTGGAACACGGATGAACACGGCACCGCACACCGGACAAGCACTTGTCCGCACTCTACCCATGGCCAAGTGATCTGAAGCTGTCCCGGGGTGGGAACTCCTGCCGTGAAACAAACTCCACCACACCAAAGGCAGAGTTCTCCTCAGTATCGACAAGACGGTGAGAAGACGCTGATCGCCCTCTGATTCTACCTCGAATGGATTCATGGCAATGCAAGGCATTTCGGAAGCTAGCTCTGTGCGCGCCTCTTGCGAAGTTGATGCGAAATCTCTGGAATAGTATGGCATGTGCCGGAACGGGAACAACTGCTTCTGATTCTCTATATCCTTGCGGCTGAGCATCAACGCGGACAGCCCCGATGACCTTACGGTCAATGATCTCCTGCTGGGGGGGACTTGTTGCGTCTTCAGTCCCATTGCACTCTGTGAGCTGCGCTCCTCACCCCAGACAAGGTCCGCACCGTACCTGTCAGAGGGCGGCCCGGGACATGAACAGGGAGCACACAGCGCAACGGGAATGCAGAAAATGCAAAGCCAAGCCGAAGCCGTTTTCCGCGGCCTCAGGCTCTCCAGGCGCAAGGGCAAAGTGCTGCCTCAGAGTGCATTTGCCGAACGCGGGACGAGAGGCTGCATCTGAGGGTAGCCTCGTACCATCGGAGCCAGGACCTCCAAGAAACTGTTTAAAAACAATCTGTCTGTCTGTGAAAAGGCCGAAATTGTCTGTTCATGTTTCATTCCTCGTCAGGAAAAAAGCCAAGATTGTCTTTTCAGTTTGATTCCGTGTCAGTCTCTGCATCTCGACGACTTTGGGCGTGTCCACATTTGTTGGCACCTCCACGCCGCAGAAGCGGCTGCTTCTCTCGCTGCCACCGCCATGGTAGCCTGCAGGCCAACTCGCCAAGCCGGCATGTCTTTCTTTCCCTCTTGGTTGCTTCTGTCTTGTGCCCCCTGCCTGTCTGCGGGGTGCAAGCCTCGGAACTCCTTGCCTCCTCCATGAAGGCGAAAGGAGCTCGACGCGGCCCTACATTTCAACCGAACTCTGCAGTATGGACTGTAAATATAGAAGATGGTTTCCAGCGGCGCTTGCGCACCTTGCGAAACTCAGCGAGGCAAAATCAACATAGAAGACGGCTTCCCCCTCACAACTTGAATAACTTCCCGTCAAAAACTCACCTTCCCTTCGAGAGCAAAAACATATGATCTCATGGCATCAATTCAAGGGTGGTGGATCAACAAGTAGGGATCAACAGTTCTAGGCCCCTGTAGGGTTCAGCAGGCTTAGAGGCAGGTTTAGAAGCAGGCACCGCTTAATGAGAATGAGCAATTCAAAGGGCCTCGGGGCATTGTACTCCTCTCACATATTATCACATTGAATCTGCTAGAAGTCACGATGTCGCACTCCGTCGGAGAACCGAAGGCCTCGGCAGGCCCTGGTCGTGCCGTTGTCTTTTTTGAGCTCATGGCATTGGCTTCGGCGCAAATCTCGGAGACCAGACCTTCATCAGCAACTTCAACAAGTTACTCCATGCATTCCTGGGATTTCCTGGGGCCGGTCGCCGCAGATGCCGACGGAACTTGCTTTCGCAAGCGCGACCACTACGCCACTACGAACCACTACGATCCACTAGGAACTCGGACTGTCCCTGGGTGACACTCGGGAGCACAGAAGCTCCACTTCACCGTGCATTGCGCAGAAGTTGAGTTACACTTTGAGTCTGAGCCTTGAGCGAGCCTTTTGCCAGCTTTGAGCCGGTGATTCCCGGCCCCGCAACGCCCAAGCATTCCAAGATTCTCCATATTGTAGACACTACGAAATCACGTTTGGTTCAATTCAAGGGGTGAAATTGGGGGGTTGTCTGGGGTTGGGACTGGGGTTGGCGATGCCATGTGGCGCGCGATGTGTGCCACCCTAGGCCTTTCGCCTTTGGTGGCCTTCCTCGGTGCACATCGGTGCACACCCCCAATACACTGTGCTCTCAAGATCTCAGGTCGCATAAGACATCACGACGTGGCCCTCCTCGGGCGTTTCGGGCAGGATCGATCCTCAGAAAACGGTGCTTAAGACTGAGGCAAGACTCTGTGAAATCTGCAAAGACGTGGAAGAGAAGTGCAGAGACAGAAGTGCACGGACAGAGACAGAAGTGTACACGGACAGTAGTGACTGTAGTGCCCTGGGGCGCCCTGACCAGGCTCTGCTTCGAGCGGGCTCCCGACGTCCACCTTCAGCTCCGCCAGGCCTCAGCAGAAGTAGCAAAATTGATGCTCGGCGAGAGAGGAGAGGAGGGAGGGAAGAGCACGGCAAGAGAGAGAGAGAGAGAGAGAGTTCGAGAGTCACCTGAGAGTCACCGAAAAAACTTGAAAGTATGTGAGAGCGAGACGAGTGGCAATTGGAGCAAGACGAAGAGGCAGAGATGCGGAGGTGTCCGGACTCTTGGGGCCTATGCCATCCCGCTCCCCTTGATCGCAACCTTCGCCACGCTCGATCTGCGCAGCCTGGACATCGCATGAGGCCACTGCTGGATCGCTGATCGCTGTGGCTTCTTTCAGGCCTTGTATGCCTTGTTCTCCTTGTCTTCCGCACCTCAGGCACAAGTCGCAACTTGGTAGGACTTTAGAACCCAGCGCAAAACAACAGGAAGCTCTGCTGCTGGAGGCAAGGAGGGAATCTGCAGCATGCTCGAAGTTGCATTTGTGCCAGCAAGGGTCTGTCAGGATTTTGACTTTGCGGCTTCAGAGACACGGCGGCCTGCGTGACAGCACCAGGAGAGCACTTCATGAGTGTTTCCGAGAATGCGATTTTTGACACTGAGCAAAGCCCAACTATGCCCCCAGAGAAGTCAAGCTGCCTCTTCGCCTGCTTCGGATGGCTGCAGCTCGCCGAGGTCACCTGCAAAGCCCAGATGCCGAGGACAAACCGCCACGCGCACACTTTGACCCTATGCCCTATGCCCCAAGTCTCAGAGGGTCAGAGGGTTTTGAGCCTTTGATCTGGCTCGGATCCATCTGCGAAGCCCTGGGCTGTGATGAGTTCTTTGCGCTTTCGAAGCCCATTGAAACTCATTTTGAAACTCATTGAAAAATTTTGAAAAAATTTGAAAACTCTGAACAGCCAGGGCCCCAGCTCGTGGAAGCGGATGGTGATGTCCTGTTACTGATGCACAACGCTCCCGGAACCTCGACAGAACTCCGCAGCCAACAGGTTCCGCGGGGCAAAGCCTGTCCTCTACAGAATTTTCCTGCCGGCAGAAGGTCACCTCGACCCATCCCAGTCATGAGATATGTGAAAAAAAGTGCCACGTCTGCTGCAGGTCTCAGCCAGCCCTGTGGGACCCAGCGTCCAGGTGCTGCGCATCACCCTTGGCCAGGCAATCCTGAGGCGCCGCTGGCGACGAGCTCGACAGACAACTCAGGCTTCAGGGGCCCCGGCACAAAGCCAGGAAGGCTTCGTCAAGGACGAAAGGGGCTCCTTTCGGGGAAGACGACAGCCCAGCGAGAGGCCAAGAGAGAAATCAAACGGTGATGCCCCCTTGCCTGCGCCCACTGTTTGGCACGACGAGCCACAGAGCTCCAGCTACAAAGGAACTTCTTTGAATGTTTCCCACATATGATTATCGGCCTCCACGGACCCCGTCCTAGATCTTCTTGAGATCAGAACTGTAAAAAGTAAACAGCGATATGACTCTGACAATCAACCATTAATGGTCGAATACATGATTTCAATACCTGAGACGTGAACCCTTCTTGTGGACCCCCTGCTTAGAAACCTTCTCTGAGCTTTCTACGTAGCCGAATGAAACGCCTTGCGCAAGGTTTGTGGCCAAGGCCCTGCCTGGGTGGCATTCCCACCCTCGGAGGACCCATGAGGACCCACTATGGGCCCCCGATATTCGCCCTTTGGCCCTATGGTCCCTATGGATCATAAGACCCCATGACCATCGGCACCGGGGAGGCCGGCTCAAGAGCGTTCAGATTCTACGGGCTCTCCTGCTTGTTCTTCTCCTTGAGGAGCCGCCTCGGCGAGACTGTCGCTGTGTGTCAGGCTCTGGCCCCACATAATTTGATCGCTCTTTCCCTCTCACTTTCTTTCTTTCCTCTCTCTCACTCTCTCTTTCCTTCTTTCTTTCTTTCTTGGGGCTCGGGGGAATAACCCGCGCGCTCTAGGCGCGCCCCCACGTTTTTGTGGAGGACTGAAGTCCTCTCTCTGTCTCTCTCTCTCTCTCTCTGGCATACATTTTGTTTGTGCCTTTCCTTCGACCTTTCCAGCGTTCCATATTTCTTTCTTTATTTCTACATGTATTTGTCATGTATTTCTATAGTTTATTTCTCTCTTGAGTTGTTCCTCTTTCTTTTTTGCTCTAGTTGTTTTCTTTATTGATTTTACCTTCTTTGTTGCTTTGCTGTGTTTGTCTTTCGTTTATTTCTTTGTTGATGCTCTCTTTCTTTCATTATTTATTGCTTTTGTCTTGCTTTCTCGATCTATTTCTTTCTTTCGCTATTTCCTTGTTTCTCTCATTTGTCTTTCTTGCGGTGATAATTCTCTTTCTCTTCTTTATTTTCTCTTTCTCTCTTTCTTTCTTTGTTGTTCTCTCCCTCTCTCTCTCTCTCTTGGTGTTTCTCTTCACCTTTCCTTTCCTTCATGTGTATCGTTCTTCCTCTGGGGCATTCTTCGTTCCTAATTTCCAGCACACGTGACCCGAAAGGACCGCCGAGGGCCGCGTGCCGGACAGCTTCTGACAGCAGAACGCTGTCAGCTTTAGGGACAGCTGGTGAGACAAAGCAGCAACAGAGAAACCGGACAGCCTCTGACAGCAGAATGCTTTATTTAGGGACAGCTGGTGACAGAAGGCAGCAACAAGAGAAACCGGACAACATCTGATACAAAAATGGTTTAGGGTTGAGGGACAGCTGGTGACAGAAAGCAGCAACAAGATAAACCGGACAGCCTCTGACAGCAGAATGCTTTAGGGTTTAGGGCCAGCTGGTGACAGAGCGCAGCAACAACAGAAACCGGACGACTTCTGATACAAAAACGGTTTAGGGTTTAGGGACACTGGTGACAGAAAACAAGAGAAACCGGACTGCTTCTGACAGTAGAATGCTTTAGGGTTTGGGGACAGCTGGTGACAGAAAGCAGCAACATCGGAAAACCGCACAACTTCTGACAGCAGAATGGTACAAGAGAAGCCGGACAGCTTCTGACAGCGGAGTGTTCTATGGTTTAGGGACAGCTGGTGACAAAAAGCAGCAAGAGAAACCGGACAGCCTCTGACAGCAGAATGCTTTAGGGTTAATGCTTTAGGGTTTGGGGACAGCTGCTGACAGAAAGCAGCAACAAGAGAAAACGGAAAGCTTCTAGCAACAGAATACTGTATGGTTTAGGAATTCCAGGCCCCCGGGCGCTCTCTTGGCGGGATCCTCGAAGAGCTGCGCCTGCAACCGAGGCCTCGCAGGACCAGAGAGCTAAGGAAGGAAAGTGTGCAAATGTGCGCAAAAGAAAGCAGAAGTACAGCAGAAGCAGAGAAGTGCGGAGAACCAACGAATCACGTTGACCATCTAAGTTCTGCATGGGTTCTCCTTGCATCCTTGCCTGTCTCGAGCCACTCCGACCCTCAATTCTCCTTTTTCACTCCGAGCCCTCGGCGGGGAGGCCGTGTAGTAGCCTGGCTCAAGGCTCAAGAAGTGAACAGCCCCACGAATGCATGGCCACGTCCAGAGGAGTTCTTTGGAGCCGGGCCGGGAAACCCAAAGAAGTGGATGGCCGGCACTGCCAGGAACGAGGCATCGCCTGAATTCACGCACGGGGCGCTGATACTGTAGGATTCCTTTTCACTATGCATGTTTTTGAATTCTCCTCAGATGCTGTCCAGCGAATCCCACCGAAAGACTTCTCTCTTCTGGCGGCCACATGTTCAGGCTGGGTGACAATAAACCATAAACTTGCCATCAACTCCTTCCTGGCTTGTCCTGGCTCATGGACAATGGAGGGGTGCGCAGCACTTACAGTTGGTTGCGGTGCACTGGCGGTGAGCCAAATCGCCTTCGAATGCTGCTCATGATGGTGGTCGGATAGTGGTGATTTGACGGCTTTGACTTTGGCGAATACCGGAGGTGGAACCGCGTGAGGACGGTCGGTGCCGGACTAAGCACTTACAAGTATGGATCCTGTACGGTTCGAGAGAATCATAGAAATACAGCACACCGTTTGTTCGAATGCGTTATTATCGTCACCTTCGGATTGAAAGACCGCCATATATATATATATACAGACATATAAACCGAAATTTTTACCAACCAATCACACCCCGCCGGCTGCCCTTGTGGGAGCTGCCAAGTTCGCGTGGGGCAGCTGCAAATCGATGCTGTCGGGGCGTTGCGCCCAAAAAAGAAACAAAAGGGTTGACCCTCTCTTTGCTGTCCAGCTTTACTTGGCCACTCAGCACACGAGCAAAGATAACACATTGTACCGAAGGCTTTACGCAGCCTGCTGACATCGCATACATCCCCAAGCTCAGGTCAAGGATTCGGGTTTACGTGTTGGCTGCTCTCCGATGTCTTTTTCCTGGACCCGTCGTCGCTTTCCATATCTGCAGCTCGACCGTGCGAACTGGAAACTCCGAGGTGCGCCGCGAGGTGCAACCACTTGGACCGTCGACGTGCACATCTCGCCGTCTCGCGGCCTGCGGGGCAGCCTGCGCAAGCGCTTAAACTTACTAGTGTACTTTTTGCTCACCTTGGCGAGAGGGGCGGGTGCGGCTTGAGACTTGCGAGCAATGACCTACACCCACTTAGGGACGGGCCGAAGAGATTCGAGTTGTGCTCCATCTTCGGCGGAGTCACCAAAAGCTTCCGTGCCCGGCCTTGGAAAGTTTGGGCCCCTTTAACTCCTATAACCTTACCTACCATATCGCCAAGTCATATGTCGATGACGTCGATGTCTATGCCCCAGACAGCGCTTGAAGAGCCGCAGCGAATGCTCCGCTGGGATCAGGCCTCAGGAGGGGACTGACCGAACAGGAGGAGAGATGAGGAATGAGGGAGTACCTCGGCGGAATGCGGTGGAAGGGTGGCCGAAGGGCCGATTCCTGAGCCCCGGGCTATCGGACTCCCCGTGGATGAAGAGCGTGGAGCAGGACCTCGGAAGAACTTGGCATTACTGCTGATCCATGCCGTCTCCCCTGCCGCTGAGCCACACGTTGGCGATGATCCGGCCTGTGGCTGCAAGCAGCGATTCAGCCCTTCGGAAAGCATGTGTTCCGCCCAGTGGCCATTGGGGAAGCGCTCCGCAAAGGTCCAGGCCACCACGCGCCTCGGAACACAAGAAAGGCAATGAGGCCAACATGTATACGCGAAATGATTCAGATGATTCCATGAGGCGAACTAAGCACCCCACCCGACGATGCTCTGCACCGCAGCCTTGATGGAGGAAAAGGCCGAAACCAAGATCAGGCCTGCGAGAGCGTGCTGAGCACTGGCACTGAGTGCACATTGCAGTCCTTGCCTCCGACAGGGTACTGAGCAGCCAGGAACACCGCCGGCCCACTGCCGAGGGATCTCCCGAACCTGACCGAAGTGCCGAAGCCAGTGAGATTCGACCTATCCAGACCCAACGCTGAGACGCTGAGTTCCAGTGGGCTCCAACATCCCCTTTCTCTGGCCAGGGACAAGATGATCTGGGAATATCTCACGCCAATCTCATCCACCAGGAAACGAAAAGCCGTCAGTGCCTTGGAAGAGAGGGAGAGGGAGAGAGAGAGAGAGAGAGAGAGATCTCCAAACGGAAGGAAAAGCGAAGGACCACTGAGAGACCTCCATACATGAGACCTCTGCAATCTTCTCTTCCGACTCTCTTCCTCTCTTCCTCTCTTCCTCTCTTCCTCTCTTCCTCTCTTCCTCTCTTCCTCTCTTCCTCTCTTCCTCTCTTCCTCTCTTCCTCCTCTCTTCCTCTCTTCCTGTCTTCTTCCTCTCTTCCTCTCTTCCTGTCTTCTTCCTCGCTTCTGCCTCGATTCTTCCTCTCTTCCTCCTGTCTTCTTCCTCGCTTCTGCCTTGATTCTTCCTCTCTTCCTCCTCTCTTCTTCCTCTCTTCTTCCTCTCTTCTTCCTCTCTTCTTCCTCTCTTCTTCCTCTCTTCTTCCTCTCTGCTTCCTTTCTTCTTCCTCTCTTCCTCCCTTCCTTGCTTGCTTGCAGTGCGTGAGGGAGGCCGCCCGGAGGGGCACGCTCCACCGAATCCGTCGGTGTGAAACGGGTGCGTGGTAGGGGTTTGGTGAATCCAGGGTTGTGCTGTGTGAACACACGAGGACTGCCAGTGAAAGGCCATGCTAAAGACACAATGTTGCCTCACGAGCTCATTCCTCTCTTCCTCTCTCCCTCTCTCCCTCTGTTCCTCTGTCCCTGCCTTCCTCCCTCCCTCCCTCCCTCCTCTCTCCCTCCCTCCAGTTTCGCGCACCGTGCGCTGCCGGTCCAATGCCCAGACTCTTCGTGAATTTGACAACGCCTCTCCTGTGCTTCTGGGCGGCCACCTCGTAAACGGCATCCTCCGGTCTGCGAGCCAACTAAGTGACAGGTGTTTGGTTCATGGGAAGAGTCATATTAATCATATCTTACAAGCAAGGGTAAGCAGAAAAGAAAGTCAAGACGGTGACCTACGGTGATGCACTCTGACTCGGCCATTTCGGCTCCTCAGAGGGTTCCATGTGATGCAGGAGACCGTAGCCAGGGTACCTGTGGATATTGCCGTATGCCAACTTGTAGCACCCAACTCCTGTCTGAGTCTACACCGACTACACACCATGTCTTTCCCTGCCATGGGATCCACAGGGCTCACTCTACAGCCAAGACGTTCACCTTGGCCGGCAGCGCAGCTTTTGGTGGCTGGGAGTAGACAGGGAATAGACCCGCATCCATGCCTTGAACTGATCCCTGATGTGGCGGAGCACCGCGAAGGACATTCCCAAGTCCTAGAGGCAGAGAGGGCCATAGAGGGCCGTTTAGTAACTTTAGCAATTGCGTCATTCCACTTGAGAAAGCCCTGCATGCGGAACCTCCGCATTTGCGTGAAAGAATAGGATGACGGTGGCGGCCTCGCAGGAAAGTGGGCTTTCCCTTCGTGCACTCCACGCCGTGCCTGTGGCCTTGGGCGCCGGAAACCTCAGCGGGTGCAGTGGTGCACAGTACGACACGGGTTCCACATGGTTCCACCAATGAGTCTGTCTCCTCAACTCGTTTTCTCTACATGAAAACCAACAGAAAGCGTAAAGAACCCTCAACTTTCCTGTCCTACCCTGCAGCTCTGCCAAGCCCCGAGCCAGAGGCATGGAATGCCACTGGCACTCGCCTCATCCCCAACACGCTTGGGAGAGATGACCTCGTATCGCTTGTATGGCATTCTGGCTGTGACAAGAGTTGCAAACATTGCAAACACTACGTACTACAGTTCCTACAGTTACTACACTCCACAGTCACTCTGCAAATTTGTTTGGTGGCTCACACTGTTCCACGGAATCCAGCACAAATTCCTTGCACTTCGCAATACTTCGCACCAAGAGTCGCAGGCCCAGTCAAGGCGGCTCAAGACTCAAGAGCATGAGAGCACGCAGCCCAAAGTCCTCTTGTACGACTGTGCGCCATAGGAGGGTTGGGGTGCTGGAAAGATGAAACCTGGCACGATCTGGCACAAATTGACCTCGTGCAGCGTCGCGCGGCGTCGCGCAGCGTCGCGCAGCGTCGCGCAGCGCAACTCGAGCTCACTGGCATCTAAAGACAGTCCGGCAAGGCGATTGCCCAGGTTATCGAGCATCTGAGCTCATCGAGCCTTGGCATGTGAAGACGATGAGAGCACATTGCCGTCTCTCTGCCAACAAGGTTCTGACGATGGCCACTAGCGGCCCCATTACCCCTACAGGCCCTGCTGGCAGCCAAATCCAGGGGCCGATGTCGCCGCTTTGTCGCACCATGTCACGTGCACCATGTCACTGAAAACCGGAGATTGAGGTCCATCGACGTGTCTGGCCTTTTCCATGTTGTGTTGGCCGGTGTTCTTCCATTATCATGCTGCATGGCTGAAATTCGCCGCAGCTGTGACACCAACACGATGCATGCGGAGCGCATCGCCAGAATTAACATGTGTGGCCGGAACTGGTAACCTGATAAACACGATCTTGAACTGAGCAAAAACAACGCCTATACAGCCCTACGGCGTAAGATAAGGAGAACGTGACTTACGCTGACTTAAGTAGCCAATTTCACGGCAACAGGGTATGCCAAAGCCCTCGGGCTGCCAAAGCCCTTGGGACTTCAGGCATGGCACGTTTGCTAGCAAAACGGCCCGGCCCCCCAGATCCCTTCGAATTGGACTGTTAAAAGCATACGGAGAAGCCTCCTGGGACAGGGCCGTTCAGCTCACTTCTCACGAGGAGAAGGCCTGCGCCCACACAGAAACACAAGACTCTGGCAAAACTAGCATCGCTAGAGTCAGTAGCGGAGGAGAGTCTGATGGGGAGCTTAGGGCTAAGCGTTGTAGGGTTGTGGATGTTATGGCTGGTCCGGGCTGCCGGGGAGAAATGATGGTTAAGAAATGATGGTCCAGGATTCATCCCTGACACAGGTCTGGTGTTGCCACTTCGTAGGTGACCTGCGCTCAAGAATTCCAATGAGTGACTCGATTGACGTGCACAAATGCCAGCATTTCCACTAGTGCAGCCTTCAATGGGGAGCGGGGCGGGCGGCCTTTGAAAAATGAGGTGGGGTTAGCTGTTGAGTTGTCATGCTGAAAGGTCTCGAGGAAACATTTTAACAGAACGATGGCGAGCTCCCCAGGAGCTTTCACGACATTGCCTAGTCAACCGATGGCTGGCCTATCGGCATTGACAGCCTTGGCACAGAAACAGGCAGAACGCAGGGCAAGGTCAAATAAAAACACTCTCCATGGTGCTTTGAGAGCCTTGTGTGGTCTCAGGCACCAGCGCTCACCGCATCAGGTGAGCAATGAAGTCGTCCTTGCATGAGGCGCGACACGGCTCGCCCCCTGTTCCTCTGACATTCTCTGTCCCATTTTTGCTGCTCTCTGCTCTCGTCATGTCGTGTGTCTCTCCCTCCTGGCCGGGCGACCATTCCCGAAAGTCGTCGGCCTCGCGAAATGAATAGCTGAGCAGCACTGTGTGTCCGAGTTCGCCATCGGCTGGGAAAAACGAAAGAATTGCTTGTTAGTCGCTGTGGGGCACTGGCTGGCTCGCGGCCCAGCTGCCGACCGCGGGGAGGAGGCCTGCCCGTGGCTTGTGTCGCTTTGATTCGGGGGTTGGATTTCTTGTCCCTCAGCAGCACGTGCACTACGACTCTTGCGTGACTCATATGCACAGGCCAAGCCCGAAGCTGGCTGACAAAATTGCCCATAGCCATATCCTGGCATGTTCTACAGACATCGCTACAATCTCAAGGACAGCTCCTTCGGCCTTTGCCTGTGCCTGCGCCGGGTCACCTGCCAAAGTTTCAACACCCACGGCCACAACGAAGTGCAATTTGCCACGAGGAAGCCCGCGGAAACAAGCCAGTATTGACCATAGTGGACTGGCCGCCTAGGCAAGGAGCAGACATGGCCGGAGAACGTCAGAGGCCGGGTTGGAGAGGCTGAGGCTCAGGCCCAGGAGCCCTCTCGGCTTGAAAGGACATGGGGCCTTGTGGGCCTTGTGGGCCCATTTGGCTCGGCACAGGGCCGGGGTGCGGGGGGTGCGCGGGGTGCGCGGGGTGCGTGGGCATCATGCAGGGACCTGGCCCGCAAGGGTGGCAAGGACCCGGCTGAGGCTGCATGTAAGCACCAGCGTGGGGCTGGTGCTGGTGGTGCTGATGGTGCTGCTGATGTTGCTGCTGGTGCTGCTGGTGCTGGTGGTGCTGGTGGTGCGGGTGGTGCTGCGACGGATGGGCAGGAGGCTGCCAGGCATGGGGCTGCTGCAATGGCATGGCGTGGGCATGGCCAGGCCCTGGGCCGAGGTGGCCATGGCCCGCCTCAGATTATGCAGAACCTAAAGAAGGTTAACAGTCATAATCTTCTGCAGACCCTCTTTTTCATTCCAGAAACATTCTTCTCACCAAGCAAATCACGGCCTGCGGGTATCCACTGAGATCCTCCAAAGCCATCCCTGCAAAGGTTGCTGGGCCTGAGAAGCACCCGCTTGGCAAGTGCGAATCTGGCGTGCAACATGATTCGTGCAATGCTTCGTCACAGTTGGCGTGACACTGCGGCCCTCGCGGCTCGGGATGCCGTAGTTGACGTTCTCAGCAGAGCCAGGTCCTGACAAAGCGCTGGCGAAGGGGAAGAGCCCACGTGCACAAGACGGAAGCACTTAAGTACTTAAGTACTCATATCATAATATGAATAATTGAAACGATGTAGTACTCTGGCGCCTGGAGTCTGAACCGAGATCATGTAGCCCGGCCTCAGCTCCAAAAGAAGAAGAACTCCCAAAAAAACCGCCCTCGTGCACAAGAGTGGTGTACGGTTTATGGCACACTCGGTACCCTATAGTGACTCCCAACAAGAATTGAGAGAACATCTCCCGGTGAGGGGCCCCAGCAGCCGCTGCGATGCGTCGACTGAAGGCCTGGGGTGGGAAAGAGGGTCTTTTTTTGTGGGGAGCAAGATGTAGCTGCATATTTGATCCCAAAAAAACCTTGTCCCCTCTGGGCCCCCCAACGTGTAGGCAGGCCTCTCGAACGGGAGACCGGCTGAAAAAAGATAGAGCGAGAGAGAGCGAGAGAAACACCAGCGGAACAAGAATGAGCGAAGAATGGACCGAGAAAGAAAGAAAGAAAGAGAAAGACAGCAAGAGCACGTCGTCAATCACAGCCGCAGTTGGAGGAATCTCGAAGCGCTAAAAACAGAAAAGTGTGGGCCACGGCACTCCCCGGCGCTCCCTGAGACTACCCCACGCCTCTGCCAACCACCCTGCGCGCCCTGTCCGCCCTGTGCGCCCTGCGTGCCTCGGAATTCAAAGCGAATGTGCCCTGGCCTTTTCAGCCCTCTCTTTACCATTGCTTGTGCTGTAGGCTATCTCAACACTGAGCCTGCAGGTGAATCGAGAGATGTCCCGGTAACTTGCAGCATTGCAGGCTGAGTTCCGAGTCCGAGGCTGCCGACAGGAAGGGGCCTGCTGAGATCTGCTGAGTGGGCTTCGAAGTTCGAACCCACACTGACACAGAGCTTGCGTGCACTCTTGCCATGACAAGCAGACAGGCAGGTGGCAGTCCCAGACATGCTGAGCCGTGCACATGGGTGGGCCTCAACTTTCTTAGCACGCTCGGGTCTGCTGTTGTCATGCCCCCGCTGCCCAAACACCGAGAACCAGTAAACCCAGCGAGAGGGAGAGCAAGAGACAGTGGAGGCTTTCTGGGCCGCCGACTCGTGCCGCTTCCTGCCCAAGCCACACTGCCACTCTTCCCTTTACTCTCACTCTTCCACTCCCACTCTCCCTCCCACGCAAGCTCCGGCCTCCCTCATTGCCCTGCTTGGGGCCCCTGCGCAGATCGACTGGGAAACAAGCGCACAGAAGAAGCGCACCGAGTTGGGGCATCGAGTTTTCGGAAGGCGGAGCGAAGGCATTGAACAAGGCGCCTGGCACGCAAGGGCTTGGGGTTGCCCCGGTTCTTGGAGCCTCCAACGGATGCAAGTTGCAAGGTGTCAGAGTTAAACTTGGTGCTCAGGGTCGTTGTGAACAACTGTGTGAACACCACCTAGGACCAAGGAACTCCCTTCTTTCCACTGTGCTCCGCCTTTGGCACGGTTCTCCCGTCGTGCAGCGGCCTGCAGAGCAAAGCGGAGGCAGATTGGAAAGCCAAGAGGACTCCGACTCTCGCGCTGTGGTCTGCCTTGCTTGCCTTCTCGACCATCCCCTGTAACAGGCCGCGAAGGGAGTCAAGATGAGTCAGCAAAATGTGCCAAGTGGGTCTTTCAGTGAGCACACGTGCGGAGGCCGCGGCCGAAGGTTTCTCCAGGCCATGGTGCTGGTACAGCTGCGCCACTGCATCGAGCGCCTCTGCTGGGTGCGCGGGTGTGCTCGCTGTCCCCTCAGGCTCTGTGCAGCTTCACTGTCGCCCTCCCATTGCCGAGTTCAAGACGTTTCCCTTGTAGCCGTTGCGTTGGTACAGCCTTATTCCGAGTGCATCGTTCCGGCACCTTCTCAGGCGAAAAGATTCTTAGCCCGCCGCCGCAAAAAGATGCTATGGGTGATAGAGGAAGGCTTCATGCCGGCCCTCAGAGGTGTTCATCCGTGCTCGTGTAACTCATGCGCCTGTCTGCTTCAGGGCCATTCCTTTCCGAAAACATAACATGCTCTCACCTCTCGGGCTCCGCACGAGGCCATCTCTGCAAAGAGCCCAACGCCAGCAGAGAGGTCGTTGGCCTCCCCGCATGCTTCGCTGTTTACTACCCCTCATGAATATCACTGTTCAACTCTTCCAAGTAAATCGCCGGGACCGCGACAGGGCCCACGTTGGTGCACACCACGTGTCACATGTTGATAAGAATAACATTGAGGTGTTCTGGGCGACACGGACAAGACCTTTTAGAAACGTGAAAGGGCCTGTGGTTGTTGGGGAGAAGGGGGGAAGAGATCAAGGCAAACAGGCGTCAGGGGTCTTCTGGGAAGCCGATATACATCCCCCAAGCTTGCTTCAGGTTCAAGGTTTCGGGTTTACGATTCGGCTGTTCTCCGGTATCTTTTCCTCGAAACGAGATTGCTTTCCGCCGACCGTCCGGGATGGAAGCTCCGAGGCGCGCCATTTGGAACGCAGACGTGCACGTCCAAGGGCGTGAGCCGGCCAGGCTGCCAAGGCGGTGCGTGGAAGCGTTTACAATTACACCCAAACCTTGCTTAGGCCTTAGCAGGGGGTAAGTCCAACTTTAGCCTTCGCACTTCCCCTTGAACCTCTGGAACTCCGAATTGCTTGAACCTATACGCTACCAACCTACCAACTGCCCCTTCAGAGGGCGCTTTCTGGTCAACCCACCGATTCGGGAAAAATATGGGGGCGGGCACTTTAGAGGATACTCTGGGGAGAGCCCAAAACCCAACAACCCCGCACTGGGTGGGGGATATGATGTATGATGCGCCCGAACGTAACGGAATTCGCCTCGGCCGGCAGGAAAACCAGAGGCTCGCAAGGGACCCCTGCTCTCCATTCCAATGTTGTTTCGCTCATTTGCAAGTTATCATCGGGATTCGTCGCCCTGGCCTACCAGGGTGACATCTCGAGATATCTCGAGGAACCGAACTGTGCATTTGCGATTTGTCTTAGTGGTCTCCAAGCAGGTAATCATGACTCTAGACAGGCCTTCGGAACCAAAATGGAATCAAAGGAAAAGCGACAAGAAACCGTTGACGTGCAACTTCAAGTGCAACTAGCAATGAGAGGCTGCACTTAACTTGCCTTCACGCACCCATCCATCAAGGTGTTGTAGACCAGCTCGTCACACTGCATCCCACATGCCTCACAACAGAATGTTCAGCCAAGGAAGGGTGAGAAAGGGACACGGGAAGGGAACCTTGATGGTGGCCGCCACTTGGAGTGCCTTGTCCAAGTCTCCGACCTTCCCCAAACGAACACAACACCTATTGAACCTATTGCCACACCAATCCTTGCTTCCTCCTTGCTTCCTCTGCTCTGTTCGATGCCATTCAAGGCCTGGCAGTAGCCCTTCAGCAGCGTAGAATAGGTGATGAGGTCCGGCCTGCGACTCTGAAACACTTTGACAAAGCACGAGATGTTTCTCGAATCCGAAGCCCCGAAACCGCTCTCAAATTCAACTTTCGGACTTAGACGCCAGCTGCACAACGCTGCCCTCGGACATCATTTCCTGGAAGAATTCCTGCGGGGCACACTGCGGAAAAGCATAACCGCCCAGTATCTCCCAGCGCCTCCGCTTTTGCAACTTCTGCGCATTTTATGCAGACGTCGATGATGGAGTTGTAGGCAATGGTGTTGTAAGGAACACCTGGAGAAAACAAAAAGCTTGCGAACACAGAAACACACACACACACACACACACACCCACCCACCCACACACACACACACACACAGACACACACACACACACACACACAGACACACACACACACACACACAGACCCGCACACACACACACACACACACACCAAAAAAACAAGAACCAACTTTATTATATCGCAATTATGAATCCATGCCAAACCATATTTGCAGGTCAGGTGCACACTGGACATCGTTGAGGCGGCGTTTTCGAACTACGAATATGCTCTTGCGCTGGAAGTGTTTTGCAACATGTCGTGCACGCGAGGAATGTTTCGTCGCCACTTGCTGCACATGCGAAAACTGTGCTGCGTCGCCACTTGCTGCACGTGTTACGCTGCATCACCACTTGCTTCATATGCCCACGTCCACAGCTTCGTTGCGTGTGGCAGGGGTTTCCCACACACATCTCTTGCTGGCTGGGTCATGGATCTTTGTCGGCGTCACCGTGCTGTTGGAATGAGGAGAAAGAGAGAGGGAGACAGGGGAGAGCGAGAGAGTGCGAGAGAGAGAGAGGGAGTGACATTGACAGTGCGAGAATGAAAGTGATAGTGACAGTGAGAATGAGGGTGAGAGTGAGAGCAACAGCGAGAACCAGAATGAGAGTGAAGAGAGTGTTAGAGAGTGAGAGAGACACAGAGACAGAGATAGAGACGAGTGGGAGGAGACGGAGAGGGAGAGAGGGAGGGGGCAAACTGCCATAGGCCCAGCAGTCTCCCTCCATAAAAAGAAAGGAATAGTAGCAGAACCCCCCAAACAGTCAACGCGTTTCTTGTCTGTTCCTGCAATCAAAAACAGTGACGACATCTCCTTCGTCCATTTCTAGATCGACCGACGACGATTTCAAATCTGGATGGGCACTCCACAGACATGCAATTGAACCACCGAAGGCTGCTTTGCCATGGCTCGTAGCACTGTTTAAGGGTTCTGAGAACAAGAATCAACTTGGTGAATTTGGGAGCAAGAAACAACTTCAGGTAACTTGAGCTTGAAGGTTTGAAGGATTCGGAGGCAAGAATCAACTTGAGGTACTTGTGAGCAATAACCAACTTCAGGGCAGAGATCTTCGTATAACCACATCTAAAAAATGCGAGAATCGTCACTGTTGCAGAGACAGAAACGAGTTTCGCAAGTGACGCACACGGACTCTGAGTCATATCAGAAGATTTTTGTATGCTTCCCCCTAGGGGTGGTTACACGGCGTGTGTCATTCTCTGCGCTCTGTCAAAATGCATAGGAGCGGCTCTGCCACACCCGCCTGTTGATGAACCATGACCATGATTGGTTCATTAACCAAGCTCGAGACCACTTATGAGAGAGGCTTGCTTCTGGCACTGGTTGATTCTTGCAAACCTTCAGTCTTAAGTTGATGCTTAAGGCTTCAAGATAGGTTGCAACCGGCGATGATGCACAGCTGTCCGCTGGTGATATTCTGAAGACACGTGAGGAGCGAGCCTCGCGAGCCTTACATGCATCCTCGATCCCTCGCTGTAACAACACGGATCTTCACTCAGCCGCTGCAAAATTTTGGTTGGAAAGCATGTAGAAACCTATCTGGCAAGGTGGCGGACACACACACACACACACACACACACGCACGCACGCACGCACGCACGCACGCACGCACGCACGCACTCACACACACACACACACACACACACTCAAGCTCTGGAGAGGGAAAGGTCAGACGAGTTAACAAAACCCCTCAGAGCTCACACACACACACACTCTCACACACACACACACACAGTCACCCGATCGTCCAACCGTCTCACTCGACACATAGAGTCACCCGACTGTCCAGCAGACTCACAGGACCTTGCCTCCCTGGCGTGTGGCCCTGCCCCCATGCCCACAACCATAGCACGTGCCTGCCTTCCTCCCGCATCTCGCGAAAAAGCATAATGGCAGTGTTGAGATCCTTCGTGGTTGAAGCGATGGAAGCTGAGCTCACAAGCCGGCTTCTGAGCAGGAAAGCATCCTTCTCGTTCCCGTAGCCCTTGATGAGCGTCCTGAGTGACCCACGAGAGCCATGCGAGCTCCTTGGAACGAAAGCCCCTGTAATGACTAAGCCGACTAAGCCCTGCGCGTGTAGAGAATTGTGTTGCACTGCTTGTGGCGCTTCTGCATATCACGAAAAATGGAAAGGGCCTTCAGCGGGCACGGAATTCTACTCGACGAATTGTGGCGACTCTCCACCTTCGCTCTCTGCTCCCTTCCTCACCGTCGCCTTCTCCGTCTGGCTGCACTTCACGCAAGCATTGATCATGCAGCCATAGGTGACGGCCTCAGCGCAACGCGCAAAACCCACCTGCTCTTTTGCTGCCCTGTGGGCTCCTGTGGGCTGCTGATGTGCTCTGAGGATCCCAGCATTTGCCTGCTCTCGCTGCTCGACCATCTCGTCCCAAAGCTGCACAACCTGACAGAGTTTTTTCGGGACTGGGACTGAAAGCAGCTTTAACGCAACTATAGCTGCTCTGGCTCTCTCTCGCTGACCGTCGCACTATACGCAATCGGCTTGCGTCTCCCGGAAGAGAAGAATCACTGCACCCACCACATAGTGACCGTGAGGACTTCAGCCCAGTTGAGTTACAGTGGCGACTTTTTCTGGCGTAAACTGGCGCTCAGAGTGCTGCTGGCACTTGGGGGCCCCAGCTGGATGCCCAGCTGTTTAGATTCTCCATTGACGTTTCTCCGAATGTTGTTTCCCGACTTGGAGGCAACGCGTCCACAGCCGACAATTGGTATTTTTTGAATGCGAAATACCAACCAGATGTGCGATTAATGTTGCAAGAATCAGCTGTTCCAGGTCCGTTACAATGTCGTAAAAGACTCCGTGCCCAATATGCCGCCCGCACTTCACACTGCATGTCATGCAGCCGGTGCCACTGCCTTCTTAATGTCGCAGACCTGGCCATACGCCTCACAAATTCGAAAGCATTTATAAAAGCACACCAACAAACGACAACACACACAAACAAAACGCCAAAGCTGGAGCTCCACCTTGACGAGGATTCCCAGCGTCACGTGGGAGGGCTCCACGCCCAGGTCCTGCTCTTTCTCCAAGCTATCTTTATGGATTAGTTTGTCCACTCTCTGGGCGTGAACCAGCAATCGTCTTTCTGAGAATGTTGGGCTGTCTTCGGCTTGCACTTGCCTTCATGCGCTGAAACGTGGTCTCCAGTTTGGCCTCGGGCTCGGATGGGGCTCAACGGTACCAATATGTACCACCGTAGGCTCAGGAAGCAGCGATGTCCTTCGTGCGTGAGTGCGTGTCTAAAATCGCATTGAAAAGCACCTGATTTCACGGGTCTCGTTCGTGTGCAACAAACCCTTCTGCCTTCTTCCGATCCCCTCCAGCTACCTCGTCTGCCTCTTGCGGCTGCATCTGCACAAATTGCTCGACGAGCGCGACCTTGGCATCCAAATTTGCATCCAAAATATCCCGAAGAAACCCCCGAGCCGGAACTGCAAAGGAAAGGAGACATGGCTAGGGACTGTAGCAGCTTCACGGCAGCTCACAGCTCTCACAAAGGCCTGGACGGCAATTCCGGGCAATTCTTTTGAGCTCCCGGCCGACCGGTTGATTTTTGCTGGATCCCAGCTCCTGCACAACTTCTCGTGAATTGAACTGGACCGCGGGTCGGGTCTGGTAAGCCCGGCAAGCTCAAAAGAGCGGGGCTCTAAACCCTAAAGTCTGTAAACCTGCAACTTGCCTAGAGTACAGAGAAGTGCGCCCTCGGACAGCATTCATAGGAAATATGCGGCAAACATGCGTCACCTACTTCTGAGGGCGGCACATTTACCGAATTTAACGAATGTTGCATGGCATTGCTCCGCTTCGCTCCGTTGCAGTTCGTCCGCTTCCCTTGCGAGCCTCCGCCCGTCGGCAAGCGTGCGCATTAGCATCCGGGACACCTCAAAGGCGAGGGTCAGATTCGGCACTGAGGCGTCTGAGAGCGCCTTTGAAGCTCTACAGCCCACAGACTGGACTGGGATTCTGGGAGACCTGCTGTGAACCGGTCCTCAGAGCAGCTCAGAGCAGCTCAGAGCAGCTCAGAGCTCAGAGATCGAAACGCTGTGCCAAGAGGGGCTCAGCGTCAGCATCTGGGCGCGTAACCGCCGGCAGACCGGCCCGCATCATCTCTTGCAAAGCCTCCCAGGCCTGGGCCAGGACCAGGAGCCGAGGCCACCATTGAAAGCCCTAATCATCATCTTTTTATGAGGCCCTAGCACAAAACATGGGAAAAACCTTGTAAAAGCACCTGACCTCACAACACCCGCATACAAAACAGCCCCGAACGCGTGCACCTGGTCGACGCCGCGACGTCGCATCAGGTCTTCCAACTGCGAGACTGGCCCGCCCCTGGCTGTCGAGACCATGCACCCGTAAAGCTTCCGTAAAGCTTCGGCTTCGCCACAGGTTTCGCCTTTCGCACCCAAACGCCTACAGCACATCAAGAGGAAGGAATATGTAAGCTGAATACAGTACGAGTATCTTGTGCATTTGCCTAGCTTTGGGACTGAGCTGCGCAATCTGCCCAAACACTTCACATCCCATGGTCTGTCGTACATGGGAGTTGCTTCACAAAACCCTCTTAGCTATCTCTCACTGCCGAGCCATGTTCGAACTAGAATCAGCTGCTGGGCTCGCGGTCCTGTTGTCGTGCCGTCCGTCGCCACCACCCGCCGCAACGCCGGCGCCACCGCCGCGGCCCTGCGGAAACGGTCGCCAGTGAGAGGGTTCTGCACAAAATCACCCACGTCCATGCTCTTCTTTTCTTCTCCTCCGTTTCGCTCCGCTTCTCTGTCGTTATCTCTGATGCCTCCCTTGAGGGAGAGATCCGTAGTGCACTCGGCATACAAAAGTACGGTCGAGAACGTGCTGCACGGGATAACAAGCCAAAATCTCGAAGGAAGACACGAGACCAGGTAGTTTACCAATGTACAGGCGAAGAAGAAGTTTACCAGATTCACCTAAATTGAAGCTTAGATGCTCTAAACACCTGAGCCAGCTGTTTTTTCGTTTTGCTGAGTATGTTTTTGTTTATCTCTTTCGGTACGAGTGCCGTTGTCTTTCTTTCGAGGGCCTTAGGGCCCGACTATGGAGCCTTGCACGTACAAGTAAACACGCTGGTGCTTTTCCCATATCCCTCTTTTTCCTGCGCACTTAAACCCCTACGGGTCGCAGATTGGCGCGACAGAGTCAATTGGTGAGACAGCTGCCGATCCCTTGGGCCCCTCTCTGTTTCTGTCCTTCTGCATCTGTCTCTTGATTTTGTCCTTCCTTGAGACGCCTTTCCAAGGAGAAATGCCCGAGGTTCCAGGTCCAGGACGCCTTTCCTCGAGATGGGTCTGGACCTGGTACCTTGTGAATGCTTCCCCCCGTGCGAACTGTACCACAAGCCCAGCCACAAAGCCGGGCGTGCCAAGCCAGATCATGGGAGCTGCACAGCAGTGCTCCCAAAATCTGGCAGCTTGGCCAGCCTCGTTCAGGAGGATGTTGGCTAATTCAGGTGGGAGACAGCTCGGCCACGACAGGAACTACACCACCATCGGCTCCCCCCGATTTGAGCCAAGATGGCACTTTCGTGATTTGTTGCTCTCGTTTCTCTCCCTCCCCCCCCTCCCTGCCTCCCTGCCTCCCTGCCTCCCTGCCTCGCTGCCTCCCTGCCTCCCTGCCTCCCTGCCTCCCTGCCTCCCTGCCTCCCTGCCTCCCTGCCTCCCTGCCTCTCTACCTCCCTCATCCTCTCTCCCTCCCTGCCGTTCCCCAATGATCCTGACCGCGCCGGCCCATCGCTAGAAGGAGGCCCCCGCGGGCTCACAAGCTTTCCGACTCTCAAATGCAAACAATGCGGTTGTGCTGGGTTGGCATAGGAGGTCTAGGATGATTCATTCTGGCTCAACTTGCGATTCATGTCGCGGTGCTTGGTCTGCCATAGGCTGCTGCTGAACGTCAGATCTCTGGGTGACTTTGGGTGAACTGCTCTGGGTGCGATGGCCGTGGCTGACTGCTCTGTTTTCGAGCCGAGGTGGGAGCCATGACTAAGAGAAACTCCTTACCGGCTTGTAGATGTTGTAGGCCCTCCCCGTTAACTCGGAGCACCAGGCGCTTTGCCGGCACTCGACTTGGGCCAAAATTTGCAGAAAAAGCTGTTGGCAACGGAGTCACCGAGACCTGCTGAACTGACAACTGGGAGAAATGACCACGATGTCTGGAAACCCTGCGCTTGCAAGCTGGTTGCAAGCCTTTTTTCCTCGAAACCTCCGTCACCTCATTCCAACGGTTGTTGCTGGAGTCCTTTCTGCGTGCGCTTGCTCTCCTCGCCGTCAGCAGCATCTTTGGCCTCAAGAAGAAAGAAGAAAGAAGAAAGAAGAAAGAAGAAAGAAGAAAGAAGAAAGAAGAAAGAAGAAAGAAGAAAGAAGAAAGAAGAAAGAAGAAAGAAGAAAGAAGAAAGAAGAAAGAAGAAAGAAGAAAGAAGAAAGAAGAAAGAAGAAAGAAGAAAGAAGAAAGAAGAAAGAAGAAAGAAGAAAGAAGAAAGAAGAAAGAAGAAAGAAGAAAGAAGAAAGAAGAAAGAAGAAAGAAGAAAGAAGAAAGAATGGAAAACAAGCGGTCTCTCTCTCTCTCTCTGAGCACAGCAGGAGCACGGAGATGCAAAGGGGGAGCACACAGAGCGTATGAAAGCAAACCAGAGGGCCTCAAAACATAGCCCTTTTTCGTTCCAGGAGGTTTGTGCACAAAGAAAGTGCTTTGCGAAAAAGAACCTTTTTGCGCTTTGCAGAAGTGAGAGCTCTCTGCGTCTCGCCTTCTCTTCCCACAGCTCGAAGTACTCGGAGATGCGCGGCGCCAGCTTTTCCAGCTCCGCTAGCTCCTTGAGTTCACTCTCTCCCGTTCCTTCTTGCTGTCCCTCCGTTGCTGCAGCTGCTCCTTTCTCTGCAAACTTCTTTTCATTATTCTATCTATTCCAATCGCCTCCTCATTCAGGTAGAAGAGCCGATGACCGCCGCGCGTCAGAAAGGCCAGCTGAGCCTCCAGGGCGCCGTCCACATCGCTCTTGGCGGTGAGGACTTGCACCTGCAGCCATGGGCCGAACAGAGCAAAACACTCAGCGGAACATCGCAGAAGGCGCACAACGTCGACTTCGGCACAGCTGCGCCGTGTGCAGCTGGGCGCCTGCTTGCGGCCTCCGGGAAGCTCGAGGGCTTGTCCCTGGCAACATCTGGCCACAGCTTGCTCGCTCTCCACTTAAGTGGTCCCAGATGCCCGAATGCCCTGACGTTCCCATTGCACATGGGCCTGTGGTGGCCAGTATGGCCGTAGCCGGCGTTTGTCTCTGGCGGCCTCAAAGCCACGCTCCTCGAAGCTGGTGGCCTGCGGCGAGGACAAGGCAGGTCAGCCGAGAAAGATTACAAAGCAGTGAGGAGAGACCTCTCCAGACCTCTCCGTCGCTGCTCTGAGGTGCCCGGCCCGTGGATCCCTGGCCTTTCGCTGCGCTTGAGCGGCCTGGAACCAGAAAACGAAGCTATTCAAGATGAAGAGTATACGAAGCATTTAAACATCACTGTAACACATTTTATGAGAGACATGGAGAGGTCACCGGCCTGTCCAGTGGCCCGAACTTGCCGAAGCATGTGCAGATTGTGCAGGTCCTCGGCAGGACAAAACGAAACTGCTGAGAAAGGGTCGCTACAGGCTTGGGTTTTAGGCTTTAGGGTCCATGGATCCCATTGCGCCCCACTGGCATGGCCTGGCACGCCCGGCGCCAGGAGGCGACGAATGACAGCGCCATGGGTGCGGGGGTACCCAACGTTGCACACGACACCACGATTTGCAGCATTCGGCGTTCAGATGCTTCATGTGCCTGCATGCCTGCACTTCACTTGAATCCCAAATCGGAGACCGAAGGACAGTCAAGCACCGATCATGTGTCTGTCATGTGGGGTGACATGCTGGGCCACGGTCCTTTTCGTGGCTCGCCCCACCAATGCAATCCAAAAAAGCCCGCACAGCCCAGCACATGTTCTGCCCAACTTGCTGAGAAAATATGCTTTCCGTAGCTTTCTATTCGCATCAATGCGAGACATATCGAGACATCTTAACACAAACGCAGCTGCCAGTAGAACACATGAGCTCCCAGGACTGTCGAACTGATAATATCGCGGAGGCTCCGGCCATGAAAAAACTGCACCTCCCACGGGATGAATGAGATTGAATGAGCCCATGGCTTGCTCATGGATCCGCTCAGTCTGCCCACCTTCACTCACCTTCTTGCACAGTTCTCCAAACATCCCGTGAGTATGCCGCAGCGCCTGTGAAGCTACGGATCAAGCGAACAGCCTCTGAAACATCTAAGCTAGCTCGCAGCTTTGAAGGCCGACTCTTGCGCCCAGCTCATGCACGGCCCACGGTGCTTGCCCGCTGGGCTATTTCAATCCACGCTGGCCTCACTGCTCGAGCCATTTTAGGCTCAAGTTCGAGACAACCATGCGATGAGTAGAGCCAGCATGACCCCGCACCTTCTCGTCCGCTCGACCCTAATCAGCCTGCAGGTTTAGGCTCAAAGAACTGCGCCAACGCATACCTTGGTCCACTGTTTGGGCTGTGCTGCTTTACGCAGAGATGTGAAGTGGGTAGCCACTCCTCAAATCTGTTCTGGAGCATCTTGGGAGCAAGCACAGCCGTGCAAAATCCACGTGGCCTTCGTATGTTTTGGTCGCAGTCAGTGACATAGATGACTTGGGTACATGCAGCCCGAAGATTTAGCAATAAGAGTACTGAGAACTTAGCTCGTGATCCAGCGTTCCAGACGCGGTGTTGCTCTGGTATCGCTGAAGTGCAGTGTAGCGGCGCATCGCTCCGGGCGAGCTACAGCTACAGAAAATCGCTCTGCAGAAGTGCCAGCGCTCTGCGTAGCACTCTGCGGGAACAAAGCAACGTCCGCATTCCTTCTGATCAGCGATCTACTACTAGTACAGATCTGGCATTTCGATGAGCCCGCACCGTTGAATGCGATCGTAAGTTGGATGTAAATTGGGCCATTAAAAGGACCCGACCGAGGAGACTCGAGGCCGCATCTCATCTCGGTCACCTCTGAGTCGGAAATCCCGCTGACACTCGAATCTGCCACCGTTTTCAGCTGTAGGCTAAGCGGCTAAGCGGCTAAGCTCATGATCACAAAGAGATCACCAGGCCATCTCGCAGATCTTCTGGGCAAAGACTGGTTGCGCTAAGCACCCGCCCGGAGCCTCTTGAAGCAGACTATTCACACACGTACACGCGCAAAAACGAAACATGAACACACGCACACACACACACACACACACACACTGTGTGTGACTGTGACTGACACGGACACGGACACTTACACTTACTTTTACTTGTTACACACTTGCACACTTATCGGGCGCTTTCCGAACACAAGTACTTCTGGCTGGCCGCTGGCATCCCGACACAGTATGCTTGCTGTCCATGAAGAAATTCAGCAGGATGCTGTCAGCGCAGGAGGTGAAGGTGGTATGCTTGTGAAAACATTAGGTGACGTCGCCTAGATAAGCGTTTGCTGGAAGTGCAAATATACACGGGCCCAGTGTGGTTTTCCCAACGATTCTAATCTCGCCCTCAAGGAGTGCAGTGCAAAAATTGCATGAAGCATCATGAAGCCCCTAAGGGAACAGGAGAGCCCATGAGACGTACACCTGTAACAAAACTTTGTGGAACATCTATGAAGTCATTTTGCATACTGTGAGTATTGAACAGCCTTTGCCTTTGAGTCTAAGTCTTACTTGGAGGTCGCAGGTTTCTTAGGAAGACACTACCACAATCAGCAACGGAAGAGAAGGTACCAGACCCCTCACGACGCCTGGTCTTGCTTGGTCCACACATGTCCACACACACGAACACACAGAGCATCTCAGCGTCTCTCGCAACATCTCTCAACGTGGCAGCAGGCCTTCTGAGGAGGTCTCTGTGATCTGTCGCTGCAAGAGCCCCACGGCCTCGGGGCCACAGTATCGTTGAGAATTCTGCCACCTTTTCCAGCCTAACTCAGCCTTCTGATTCTCTCCGAGGCGCCAGTGGCACGTGTGGCACGTGCGGCACGTGCGGCACGTCTGGCACACGCGGGCCGACATGGCCAACGTGCGGCACGTGTGGCACCTGAAGCTCTCGGAGCCGCAGCTCCTGGTGGCCGTGCGCGTGCGTGCACTGGGCACCTGCAGTCAGGAAAAGACAGCAGCCCCAAAAAGAAACACAAGCTCAAAAGTCTCAAAAGTTCCAAGAATTGGAGCATTAAAAAACAATTCGAACAAGGCAAAACCGAGAGAGAATCGAATGTCACATCGTAAACCGCAGGTACATATGGAAGAGAGTCAGGGAGCAGCAAAAACAGGACTCTTTGAACAGGGCTTTGCGTCGGGGAACAGGGTGGGCCTCTCAAACTGAGTGCCGGGCCATACTTGCAGGTGCCCCTTGCGGCATAGTCCCAGCAGAGCTTCATGCCTCTTGAGACTCTTGAGACTCTGAGCGTGATTTCTGTTCATCTGTTTGGAGCATCTTTTGCAGCGGAGTCACAACGGAAGTCTGGCTTTTCTCGCAGCTGTTGCTTCGTGTGCGCGAAGGAGCACTTGCTGCCACGGCTGCACTTGCCCTCCAGGAAGAACCTGCACATCGCCTCAACGAATCCATGTTTCAGCATTTCAGCCGCAACATCGAGCTCCACAGCCGTGGGCGTGCTTCCTCCGAGCTCGTTGCGGTGTTTTTGAGGGCATGCTGGCGTTGAGCCTTTGACTCCTGGCACTCAATGGCTCCTCACGGCAATGCTCAAGCAGCACTGTGGCACTGTGCTCCTGAGGCTGGCGATCGGTGTGGGCCATGGACCTCACACTTCCAGACTTCCACACAGACTTCCACACAGACTTCCACACAGACTTCCACACAGTCACTGTTCGAGGCTTGAAAGATCCTGAAAGTATCGACGCGGAGTGGTGTCGAAAAGTGTCAAGAGCAAGAACAAACAGTGAAAAACAGTTTGCAGGCAAAGCGTCATGCTCTACAAGGCCGATGGCAGCTGAGCTCAACCGGGTTGTGAAACTGGTAGTTCGCTTCAAGTCACTACCGCTCGGGCCATTGAAATGGCAAAATGTGAATGTGCGACCGGCGGGACCTGAAGCCCTGCAACTCCAAAACAAAGCGCTGCCAAGCTCACAAAGAATCTTTTTCCCTGCGGGGTGGTTTCGGGCTCTGCGTCGCGCATCCTTCTACATTCAGATAATGAAGATTCACCTTGCTGCACGGGATACTCTGTGCGAATCGACGAGTGCCAGTGTCTTCGAGAAGGTGCTACTGTGGCCGGACCACGAAGCCTTGCCCATCGTCCTGCACGGGCCGCAGAAGTTCACCGAACTCACCGTGGGCCAGCAGCATCCATCCTTCGTCCATACCCTCACTGGTCTTGAAGGCAGTCCGCCCCCAAAAGCCGCTCTCATCAAACTCCAGAATCTGCAAGCGCTGACCTTTGATGCGCTTGCTGACCCGGGATGCTTTTGCATCTGGCTCACGCCGAATCCACACGGAGTCGTAAACAACCTCGTAAAGTTCCCCTCCTTTCTGGCCTTTCTGTACTTCTGTCTTTACGGTTCCATCCGGGGCGTTGATTGGGGCACTGATGGATTCATTGGTTTCATTGGCTTCAGTGGCTCCGGTGGCTTCAGTGGCTTCAGTGGATTCAACGGGTTCGGGACCGGCACCGTTGCCACCCACTTCGCTGCACTGATGCGAGACCCAAAGCCCAAGCTCCGCCTCGTTTTTCCGCTGAAGCTCCTCCAACCCAGAGCTTCGTACATCCTACTCTCCCCCTATGTCTACTTCCTTGCATCAGTACATGAGGGGGCAGGGCGCCTAGGCTGGGAACTCGGAATTCGGGGAATGGCAATTTTTGCTCCTCCAGCTCTTCCGGGGTGCAGCGCCGCAGTGCCCGGAGTTCCGCACTGTTGCCTTCGGTGGCGCCTGCACGCAGCAGCCGCAAGCAACAACGCCACTGGCCTCTTTGTGCCGCCAAGACGATTGCCGGGCCACGAGGATCTTGGAAGTCGAAATCTGCAAAATCCTTGCGGTCCTTGTGGTCCTGGCCAGAAAGGAAACGGTCCAGGTCCACATAGCGGCCTTCCATAGCCGCCACAGCCACAACATTCAGGGGCCGTATGCACAAGGGTTCCCCGCAGGGCCTCAGCAAAGGACCGAGCTCAGGGTGGTCCAACATGACGAAGCCGCTTCGCGACAAACGATGATCCACGCATTCGCGCCATTTGCCCGTCTCATCCCAACCAAAAAGCTCCACGTGCTCGCCACGCCGAATTTGGCCCAGCGCTTTGGCTCCCAAGGAAGGCCCAACTCGCAACGCCACGCGCTCCGGGATCACCTCGTACCAAGCGCCAGGCCCATCGAAAACAAAGCTGTCAGGCTGGGTCGAGCCCGTATAACCTTCGTGGTTGCCCTCTTCCTTTTCTCTTTCAATCTCCTGGAGTACTCGAACCCCACCTTGGGTGAAGACCGGCAAGTAGTGCCCGTCCTCCAGTTCAAGAGCTTGCAAACATGTAAAGTCCGCCGAGGCCTTGGGCCGTAGTTTTATGGGTAGCACATGGTAGCACCAAGCCCAACTCCTCCCCAACCTATTTTGCACTTTTTTTGCCTAAAATGGCGGGAGCGGACGGCGCATCAGGACCCGGAGGCATTCCAGCCCCACCATTGGGGCCGGACCGAAACCCCTACCCACCTGCTACCCACCCCCCCCCCCCCCCCCCCCCCCCCACACCTCAAAGCCAAATCGCACCTTCTTCGCTTTGGGTTGCTTCGTCACGGAGCCTCAGGCCGAGGCGGGTCGCGTAGCGTTGCAATTAACACATGCCTGATTAAGCTCGTGGGCGCGAGACCTTCACACCGCGAAGTGCTGTAAATTGCAACAACAAACCACCGGTGACAACAACCGGTCCAGGTGAACGCAAAGCTTTTGCACTAACGACGTGCGCCCTATTTTGACACTCCTGCTACGATGGCGGCAAACAGCCTGCAATCGTTCGTCTCCAGTCGAAAAATATAGGCAGTGCAAAGTCAGCGCAGTCGATATCCATGGAGGACCGACCAGTTCCCGGCAATGCGACTGCAGACGTGTAAACACAAGAACACAAATCAAGAGGGGGAGAAAGGCTACCGCAAGGCCACAGCTGAACAAATGGCAACACAAGTCATAGACAGGGTCGAGCAACAAAGGGCGCTCGCGATAGATTGTGTTCTACACGACATCATGTGCTCGGAGTGAACACATCGCCCTTGCACTAACGAAGTGATTTTGTCCAACTGCTTCCGTTACGATGGCAACTGCCTGCAATCGTTCGTTTCGGAGGCAACATCCATTCGAAGATACAGGTGCAAAGCCGGTGCTGTCGATATCTTGGGAGGACCGACCGGTTGCCGGCAATGCGACTGCAGGGAAGCACAAGGGAACAAATGAAAGGGGGGAGAGGGCTGGCATGAAGAAAACTTCAATAGCAATAGTCAGAAGGCCACAGCTAAAAACAAACGGCAAAGCAAATCACAGACAAGGTCAAGGTCGAGCAACACAGGGCGCTTGCGAGAGTTGTCACGTCGAACACAGGTTTTCTACACGACATCAGGTGCTCGAAGTGAACGCACAGCCCACGCATTAACGGAGCGCACCAGATTTTGTCCAACTGCTTCCGCTACCAAGGCAAATGGCCCGCGCAGTTGTTCGTCTCGGATGTGGCATCCATTCGACGCTGTAGGCGCAAAGCCGGTGCCATCGATATCCCAGTGACTTGAATGTCAAGCTTGTGATGGGTGTAGCAATGCAGCAGGTGTTGCGGGAACCGATTGCCATCCCTAGTAGTGACAACGGTGACAATGGAGCAACCTGGAAGCAGAGAGAAATACTGGCCACCAGGCCTGCGTGGCTGGGAGACATGGCTTTAGGGGGGGGGGGGGGGGGGGGGGGGGGGGGGGGGAATGCTGGAAATCATAAAAATCATCTAAACCCATCTTGCGTAAAGAACTTATGGATTCATTAATGAGTTGTTTATGATGTTCTTGTCTTTCATGGGAAGAAGGGTGAGGGGGGCGTGACTGGAAATCATCAAAACCATTATAAAAAATCATAAAATATACGTAAAAATTATGTTGCTGTTTATCGTCTGAGCCCACCCCCTCTGAAACCCTCACCACCCCACCCTTTCCTTTTCTGGATCTGGCATGTTTTTTGTTGTGTTTTGTTGCCTTTTTTTCTATGTTTTTGCAGAGTTTTTACGGCACCACAAACATGGACCTCTTTGTCCTCCTCAGCCCCCATCTCCCAGACCAAGGACCAAAGCCAAAGCCCACCACCCCAGCCAGGCCCAAGCCCAAGCATCCAACTCAAGAAGTTCCAACTCAAGAGGTTCCAGCAGGGCCAAGGCGGCCCTGGCGCGGCCAAATAAACATGTCTCACAGCTGTGCGCCAACTGCCTGCTGTGCTGCAGGGCGTGAAGTTACTGCATGTCTCGGTTTACGTTTGAGGAATGGGTCAACGTGAAACACGCACATCTTGCACTTATGTCTGGAGTCTAGAGTCTAGAGCGGCAGAATCAGACTCGACTTGATTCGACTATGACTATGACAATGAATCCACGATTCTTTGGTGCTGTACATCCACTGACGATTGCTTGGCCCGGGGTTACAAAAGTCAGAACGAGACAAGACTGACTAGACTACCGCCATATGAACTACGTAATTACAATGGAATTACCAGCTGCTATGGAATGCCATGGGCAAAAAAAGACGGCTGTGAGCTTTGCCAAGCCACAAACGTACAAGCTTCTGGCACATGTTTGCACCGCGTTCAAGTGGGAGGACTTGAACGCAGCATTCACACATGAACCCTTCGAGTAACCTACCCAACCAGCCATACGGATCGGTATCAACACACTCATGGGCGCTCGCGGACTGCCCAGCCTGCACCTCTTGGTTTCAGTCGAGGTACGAATCACAAGGGAGGCTCATGCCACTACAATACTATGCAACGCGTCGTCCGTGGTCCTCCAGCTTGAGAAACGCGCCATCGGATTCCAAGGTGCCGCAGACGAAGGAGTCCCAAGGCACTGGCTTCAACTTGGTCACTTTCGCATCATCGTCGTGGGATGGCGACCGACGATAGCGCAACCCCGAAGACGAGGAGCGTAAGTCCTTTGCGCCGCTGACGGACACTACCCCCACACATCCCCACACACGCACATCAAACATCTTCTCAAGGGACACTTAGAACACTTAGACATGACATGACAAATGAGATGGAAAATGATGGAGGAGCCTATCATTGCACATGGCTGAGACTCAGTGTTTACGACCACGTAGCACTTCGGCAAGGATGCATGGAGCTGCTCCTTCGCCCAATTACTGAAGCCCATGGCTTTTTTCCATGCTGGGCAGACAAGTGGCTGCAGCAAACCATGCAGTGACCATGGTGACATGATGCAACTCGCAGAATCTGCTAACACAAAGACTCAAGCTCCTGTTGCTGTGGTTCGCTTTCCATATCAAGATTCGATGACAAAGGACACGTGGATCCAACTTGGGGACGGTAAGAAATCCATTTTGCATGCCCCACGCCTGGGCAAAAAGCCCGGTACGCGGCACCTGATATAGAGTAACTAGGTTGCAAGGCCTGCGCTTCTGGAAGGAGCTGTGAATGTCTTTCCTTCCTATCAGACCCAGCTGGCCTCCAGTAGGCCCACGAACAGTTATGAACGAACATGTCAGGTCTCATCGTCTTGTTTCTTGATCATTAGGGCCCCCCATTCGAGCCCCTATTCAACTCCCATGTTTGCGTCAGCTCCGTGCTTCTTCTCCCAAGCTCAATCACACCTGCATGATGCTACGAGCGATCTCTAAAACATGCAGGTGGTTCGACAATCAAAGGACTCAAATGGCCCCTTTCGTGCTCTTCATGCGCTGATTGCGCCAAATCCGTCGTGTCTACCGAGTCTACCACCTCTACCTGCCAGCTGCCAAAGCAAAAAAAAAACGCCGGAGTGTTCATCCAATAGACTGAGAGGTCGGACACTCTGCAACTGATTTTTGACGCGGGGTGCCACACGGCGCGAGCGTGTAGCACTGCACAGCCTCACCTGGCACCAAAACCCATCAAAATCATCCAGGGGCCCGAGAGGAGAGTGGAGAAAGTGGGACGGAAAAGGAAGGAGAGAGACGGACGCTGCCTCTTTCATGCTGCTGAAACTTGTTTGTCTGTCACGAGTGCAGCTTTTGTAAACAGCTTTACCACTTTTTCGCTGCTAGGATCCGGCCTCAGAGTTCCGGCCGCAGCTTCCCGAGGCTTTTAGAAGACACATTTCGTGGACTCCTCGGAGAGAAACAGAATGAAGAGAGAGAGTCTCCGAGAGCGCCTCTGTGGTGAGCCTACTTGCAACTTCCTCGCGAAGTGTTTGGTGGGAGTGGTGCCCAGTGCCCACACTTTCAACACTTCTCCGAGACGCCGAGGGCACGGCAGAGGGCTGGACCGGGACCACTCTCGGCTGAGGTTTGGCTGGCTCTTGGGACTGGTGGGACTGGGAGACCTCAGAACATCCAGAACACACAATTCTCTACCGCTGAGAGCCCTCATGGTCATCTCAGCGCGGGGCTGGAAGGCATCCCAGTCAAAGTCGTCGAACCTTTCCTGAGGGAGACCGTTCAGAGCGGGCAGGAGAAGGCGCAGCGAGAGTTTCGGTGTCCGGCGCGGAGCATGGACTCGATGGACTTCAAGCGGCTGTACCTCTGCAACTGCTGAGGGAACCTGGCTTAACTACTGAGTCTGTGTTAAGGCGGTGCCTTCCTTCCCTTCCTTCAGTTAACGTATGCTGTTCTTCTGATCTTTTGGTGGGTTCCCGAGTGCCGGGCATGAACTGGAAGGCCCGTCGCTGCTCCTTGTTCATCAGGTGAGTCGTGTACATGACCTGCCCATCGCCCGTGCCACTCTTCATGCTTTACAGAGCTCTTTCTGTTCAGCTTCGACACGGATGGAGCAAGAAGGGAAGTATGATTTCTCAGGCAGAATGTACACAAGGAAATGACACAAGGCCAAGGCTGTTTGCAGGTCGATGCTCGTCGCAGCACCTGTCATTTGTCACTTGAAGCAGCAACTGCAGATGTGTCTGTGTGATCGTGTGTTGATCAGTTGAGGCAAGCTCAAGTTCTGCCTACGGACCCGGCTGCTAGGGCCAAGGGTGCTGATGCTTTGACCTTTAAACTTTAGACCCACCTTTCATCCGCACGCAGGCGTTTGCAAAAGTGATCGCATCGATGGTGGGCTCCCCATGCCTCAGGCGAATCCCTCTGAGGCGACTCTCTCCCGTCTCTTCCTCACAACTCTCTCTCTCTCTCTCTCTCTCCCTCTCTCTCTCTCTCGCTGTCTCGCTCTGGCGCTCTCGCGCTCTCGCTCTCACGCTCTCGCTCTCGCTCTCTTCTTCTTCTGCTGGGGGGCATGAGGAAGCCCGAAGGCCCCCCGCGCCGGGCGCGCCCGAGTTCGAGGCTTCTTCTTCTACTTCTTCTTCTGCTTCTTCTTCCTCGTCTACGCGCAATCAAGTGACTCTCTCTCTCTCTCCCTCCCTCCCTCTCTCTCCTTTCTTCACCCCTTCCAGAGCACTTAACTCCTAGAGAGGGCTGCCCTGAGGGGCGCGCTTGAACAGAGTTTGTCGGTGTGATGCTGACGCTATGTGGAGGCATCCCTTTCCCAGGATCATCGCATGAGGGTAATCAATTGCGGACGGGGGTGGAACCGTTATGGGGACCTCTCTCTCTCTCTCTCTCGCTCTCTCCACGACAAGGCGGCTTAAGAAGCTACAACTGCTTCTCTTTGTAATTGCAACTGACCCCAGCGCTCGAACGGATGGCATCTAGGCAAGCCTACGCCGAACATGAAATCATCCGACACCCAAGCATCCCAGGCGCAGCTCCACCAGCATCTTGAAGAATGTCTGAGGTGAGCATGCAAAATCGACAAAAAGAGACTGGAGTTGTTCAGTTGTGTTCGGCACAGATGTTTTGCGTAAGGCTTGTTGAGGTTCAGGACTGAGGAACTCTGAGGAACTCTGAGGAACTCTGAGGAACCTTGAAGATGCAGTCTTGCAAAAGTAGGTGTGAACGTGTCGTGAACATGCCGCGATTCGGAGCAGGAGACGCTCATCGCCAGAGGCCACTGGGCTATAGCTAGGCGCCTCGGCGTTCTTGATGTCGATCCCCCTGATACACACAAAGAAAAGAGAAGTGAGAGAAGAGGAAGGGGTCCTTTTTGAAGGGCTCTCATATTAGGCATTTGTCTCGCTGTCTCGCACCTGGTTTGCAAGTAGGAGCGGAATTCGCTGTTCTCCACGAGGTGGCGGAACTCCTCCAGCCTCTGGTCCAGTTTCAATGCGATGGGGTGTTGCAGCGTTGCAAGGCCGATCCTTTCCGGGACCCCGGCCCAACTCGGGGCAAGCCGTCCTCGTCCGTTTGCAGCATGTGGGCGAAGAGCTGCGCCTTCCATTCCAACACATGTTTGGGGATCTTGGCGCAGCCTCCTCTGCTTTGCCTCGCGTGGAATTGTCGTTTCGGAAAAATCGGGCGCCCGGCCAGCATCTGCGTGTCCTCGTAATCCTGGAGTTGCTGCTCCATAACCAGCAGGTCAATATCCGGCTGCGCCAGCTTCAGCGCCTGGGTCTTTCAGAAAGGCGGGGCTGTCTTCCAAGTGAGGTTTGCATAGCACTGTTTGACACATGTGACATATGTGTCGTCATTTCATTGGCTGTGGGTTCTGGGCAGAAGGGCAAACAGACCAGCCAGGAAATAATCCAGTACGACGGTGTGAAAATTGTGGCTCTCCTGCTCAGTTGTTGCCTGTAAATATCCTGAAGCCCTTAAGCAGCGTGGCCCCACAAGCAACAAGAACTGCTGTTGGCACAGCTGGGGACCACACTTTCTCCACGAACGTGCTGGTAATGATGTTCCTTGGAATTGGATGGGCATGAATTGAGCCTTTTGTGGGCCGCCCACTGCCCGTGCCTTGCTCCAAATCCCAAAGTTACATTGTTCTGGCGTTGCTGCTTTCGGGTGCGTCGCTCCATTTGCTCCGGAGTTCCCTGGTGGACTTGCTGTGGCAAAATTTGAACTTTTGGGAGGCCCGCCCACACGCCATAGGATGCGTCGAACCCGGACTTTGTTCCTCAAAAAGCTTCAGTAGCATCGCATGTTTTCTGGCAGTTAGCCCAGCAAATCCGCTGAGGCCTCGGGTCAAAGGTGTAGAGGTTGTCAACAGCGGCCCCCTTTTTTGAAAGGGTACCCTGCCGTGGGCGACCACAATCTGAAAGCGGACAGTTCGCCAGGATCACGGGCAGTTGAAGCCCCGCCTAGAAGGCCCCACCCTTCATTTCCGCCCCCCCCCCCCACCCCCCTCCCCCCCCCACCGCCCACCCCCCCCCCCCACCGCCCCCCCCCACCCCCCCCGCCCCCGACCCCAACTACCCCTCAACCCTAAACCCAAACCATAAACCATAAACCCGGAACCCTAAACCCTAAACCCAACCCTTATTGCTTGGGGTCCAGTGACTTGGGCGCTGCGGAATCACCATGCTCACGCAGATGCGCTGGGCCGGGCCGAGGCGGGTCGCGTACCCGGACGGGCACCAGGGCATCCCCAAAAAACTCTTCTGATAGCAGCTGATGCCCTTAGTGTCTTTTGTCTCCTCTCTGCTTGAGTCTCGTCTCAGGCTCTTGTTGTTCTTCCTGGGAAGCACGTCGCCGCTTCCGACTCTCTAACAACTTGTCTTCCTCTGCTCTTTGCCTGCGTGTGTTCTCTTGAATTTGGGCGTGGGTCTGCTTGCCTGTTTGTCCACAGGGCTGCCTTTGGCCTGGGTTCGCACCTCAGCCTGGACAGAACGGATGCGTGTCAACAACGGCACTCTGTTCTGCCATTCGATGCACGCTGGGATCACTGTTGGTCTGTGACCTGAACCGCCTTAACCGGGTGTGAACTCACTTGAACCAGCTGGATTTCCCTGAATCGAGACAAATGTTGGTTTCAAGTCTCCAGACGGAGATGAAGACGAAGGCGACGTAGAAGAGGAAGGCTGTTGGCAGCACCGGCCTGGTAGTGAGAGCTAGCAGCTAGAGTGAGGGGGCAAGCTGTCCAGAAACCTTTAAAGGCGCACTCCGAACTCCAGAACAACACCCAAAAAGAGCACAGCTCCGGCTGCAAGATGCGTAATGAAAAGTTGCAACAAATAAAAATATCAAAAAGGACTACTCTCGCGCTGGATCTGGGCTGTCGGACCCGGATACCCAGAGCGCGTCGTAGGGCTCCTTCGGTCTCAACAGCCCGAAGCCTCCAAAAAGAAAAGGCCGAATCCAGAAACATGCTGCAACCCTCGATAAAACTCCCCCACAAACCCCAAATGACGACAACTCACGTCGACAATGCAAAGGCAAAGGGGCCTGCAAGTCTTTGGATGCTTGCATTTGATGAGCTACTTGTTGGACCCTTCGTATCGTTGCTTGGTGTGGCGGGAGTGGGGCTCCTTCCAGTCCACGCCGGAGGTGGACGCTTGGAAGAGTGTGATCAAGGTCATGCCCACCTCGGGCTGAAGGGGACAGTGCGACAGCTCACTCAAATTTTGCATCTGCGTGCAACAGCGAATTCAATCCTTTTCCTTGGGGAGGGCTGAGGCCAGCACTGAGCCGAAGAAGGAGCTGATCTCGGCCACAGCCTCTGGACCTTAAGAGAACTTCTAAACGGCTGTGCGGTGATGCCATCGCCAGCTTTGAACCGCAAGTGATCCATTTGACGCATTTGGATCCCTGAGCTGAACTGAAATATATGATCTTTGAGCCCCTCATTTTGCGGAGGTGCTGTCGCGGCCCCCGTCCTCCACTAGGAAGGAAGCCAGAAGCTGCTGGACAAAGAGAGCGAAGACATACATCACGAAGACCTGGGCCCAGCGTTACATAGTCATAGACTTAGGATGCGGTCCTCTGATTCTTGCAACTTCTTGCATATGACATCCTGCCGTTGCGTGAAGCGGACGCCCCAAACCCCCTTCAACAATTCTCAAGACAGCTTCAAGCGGTTCTCAGACTCGGAGACGAAGGGGCCATCATGACGACGCACCAAATCACCTCAGAGGGAAAGATCCAGAAAACCATTGGCAACTATCGGCAGACTCTGCGTGCCAGGCAAACCGAGATCCTTAAACAAACTCAAAGCAAAACTCAAAGCACTAACATCACAGGACATCCATGGAAGACGTAACGCAAAGAACAAAAGAAGAAGCATGAGCCCTCTAGCAACCATGGCGTGCGAAGTAGGAAGCAGCTTTAGGCCCCTGGCATTCAACAGCGAGCCGATCATGCCTTGGAGATGTGCGGTTGATTGCAGCTGTAGGGGGGGGGGGAGAGTCGGGGAGAGGGGGGCAGCAGCTTGTTTCGGGGGAAATCCTCGAGATCTGGTATGTTACGACCGGAGCTAGCAGGTATGTCTTGGGGCACTTTGACTCTACAAGCCTGCGAAACAGAAGTCCTTACCATGAGGACTCTTGGAGTGAAATCCCATCTGCAATGCAGGCCACAATCCAGCATTAGCCGCAGCTCGCTGAAGAACTTCAGCGTGCGGAAGATGCGCAGAATCTTGACGATCTTGCAGAGCCGGAACAGCCTCTCACATTCATGAGAGAAGTGTCTGCAAACTCTTTGCAGCTTTCAGGATTCTTTGCATGCTGGCAGTTCTAGCAAGATTCTGCCGCCGCGTCTCGACTATCGGGGTGCCACTATTGCCTAACGGCCCTCCCCGGCCTCAAGAAGCCAAGGTTCACGCCGGTGTCCTGCGGAGTGGCGATGTCTCTGCTTGCAAACGCATTGCGAGCTACAATTCTCTACGTCTCTCGATGTCGCTCGTCAAAGAAACATTTTAGCCTTCGCTGCGCTGTTCATCGGTCTTCGTTGATTCTTCGTTCTTTTTGGAGATGGCCCCAAGTCGGGGCATCCAACAACACCACCACCACCACCACCAGCAACATATTCGCCCGCACTTGAGCCACAATTCAGTTCATTGTGCACGTGCAGCCTTTCAAGACCCTCAACTCCATTCATCCTACCCCTAGTCCTACTTCTCCCATGCTCTCTTACTATCCTTGGTGTATGACATCTGGCCTTTGTGCCATGCATCCAATCGTATGCCAGGACGTTCTCCACGATGGCAAACCTCAACGCTTACTCGGTGAGATGCAATCCTGTTTCTGGCAACTCAGGTCGCGACAACACCAGAGAGAAGTCAAAGATATTCCATCTCCTGGCATGCCGCACTCTGATTTCAGAGCCTTGAACATGCCGGCTATGAGATTCACTTACCCGTCTGCTTGCTCGCCGCAAGGGTAAACGATGCCGCTATACTGAATTAAGTATCTTGCGAACGGACAGATGTCGACCAAACCAATGAAAGCATGGTTGTACCACGGTTATACATGCCGCTTTGGAGAGTGTTGGCAGCTCTGTTTGTTGATGTCTCTTTGGTGACGCTGCCCTGCGCATCTTCAGATTGCGCTGTGCCTTTCTGAAGTTGCAGCAGCTGGGGCCCGGGCCACTCACTGTTCCAGAAGAAGAATAATTTGTGCACGATGAGCTTCAAAAGCACTTCTACAACCTCCATAAGAAAAAGGAGAGCTGACTCAAAAGACCCTCTTGTTTAAAACGTGACTCGGTACTGACAGCTGTTTCGGGCATGGAAAAAAGCTGAATACTTCAGGATACTCCAGGCATTCGATTCAAGGCACGTAAAAGCCAGCGAGGCTCAGGTCGACAGACCTATCGGCAGTGCTTTTGCACTTGTGAGAACTAGGTTGTGCAAACATGTGCAGAATCTCCGCGACTTCACACTTTGTACTCGATCAGCAGCTAGAGATGCAGATGGCCAATCCGAGACACCGGCCGGATCTGTGCATTCGTGGGATTACTGAGATGCTGCATCTCGTAGTCTGTGGCATACAATATGAAGACCTCGGTCTCAAGACGAGCATGACCGCACATGGCCCAATGTGCTAGCCGCTACTAGCCCCATCATGTGATCGCAAGAAACCCATAGCAACGCCTCCTAGTGGGCAATGAACCCAATTTAAGAGGTTCGGATTCTGCAACAGACAGGAAGGGGCGGAGTTGCTACATCATCCACAGGCACTGCTGCAATGCCTTAGGGAAAGGAAGAAACACGCACTGTTCCAAGGGGTACCGGCGTGCGTGTGTGTGTGTGTGTGGACGCATCCACAACACGACAATAAACTACAACGTTCTTCTTCGTGACCGATGTTTCGGCACGGGGATGCCTCACAACACGGAGAGTGTTGGTACGTACCTCCGTTCACAATTTGTCTTTGATGCTGGGATAGCTGTGAATCATATTTGGTGCTACTTGACCTACGTGTTGCTACTGTCCCAGGTTCACTGCAATCTTAAGTTGTCACAGTTCCTGATTTCGTTGTTGTTCCGTGACCTTGTGGCTTCCCGAGTGCATGTGCAAGCACATGCGTATGATGTATTCTGGCGGTGCCGGCTGCAATGTCATGTGAGCTTCCTTGTTAGAAAACTTTGCCTGCCGAGATCGTAAACGGGGCACGGCATTGGCAAGGATCACTACCGTGGAGAGGAAGGCAAAGGCGGTACTGTCGACGGCCCGCGCAAGGCGCCTGAGCCAGGTTTTTGAGCATTCCATTTGCAGGGTGGTCGCGACCAAGCTGCACTGGCCCACACCGGCGCTCTTGTTGATCGCTTGAGCGACCGAGTCCGCGGCCCGGTTCGCTCAGGCTCCTTCAGGTCAAGAAGCCAGGCGCAGAACATGACGAAGGAGGCCTCAGCGCAACAGACCTCTTCAACACTCAACGAGGAAGTTAGCTAGACTCGACCTCGCAATCCTCTCATGACCCCACGACCCTTGGATGCTGGCAATTGTTCGACTGCAACAGGTCTCTTGCCGCTCAATCGAGGAGTAGTTGGACCTGCAGTTGGACATCTTAACATCTCTGAGCCTCCCACGACAACTCAATGCGATGCAAGCGATGCAAGCGATTCAAGCTATCTTCAAGCTCTCTTCAAGTGCGGAGAGCGGACCGAATGAAGTCCACCAAAGAGTTGCGGAAGACTTGGATCGGCTGCGAGGTGATCCCATTGATCCTTGGACTACTCACGCATCTCGACTTACTTCCACTCGTGATACTCGTGCAGCACGTGTGGCTACAGATCTCTGCAGAGACAGAGAGCCGATGAGCCGATGAGCCGATGAGCCGATGAGCCGATGAGCCACACGACGTATGGAGTTTTCACTCAACAGCTGTGCAGCAAGTTGTGCAGGCATGCGGCGAGTACGTGTTGTTGACGCCCTCGTTGGGCAGCCGGCTCGTTGCAGTTCCCTTGGACGAGTCGCCCCGCTTGGCCCGGCCCCTGAAGCGGAAACTGGGGAACCGCAAGCTCACCAACGAAAATTTCACAAAAAAACCCAAACTAACCTTAGAAGCCTAGAGCAAAAGAGAGTTGCAACTCAACAGCCTTCCCCCTTGCGCCGCCATTTCACGACCTGCCTTGGAGGACTGGAAGTTGGCACCGGCGGCACCGACGGCGACGGCTGAGCCGGCTGCAGGGGCCGCAAGCTCTCCACGGTAGCTTCCGGCTTCATTGGGAGCGCCATCATCAACGGAGGCGGGGGTTCGAAGGCTTGCGGCCCCTGCGGCCTCCAGCAAAAACAACAATAGTCTCTGTGATTCCGCGTAAATCATCACGGCGCAGCCACCTCCCCCACCCTGCGATTGATGTGCGATTTTTTGGTGCCTTCAACTTCCACATCAAAGTTGAAGGTCTTGAGTTTAGGGCGTCAGGGGCTTCAGGGGCTTCGCGAGTGTTCAGACAAATTGCCTGTGGCTCAGGGACTTTCTCTCCACAGACGGGGGAGGAGGCCACGGCTTGGGTAAAGAATTGCATGGCAGAGCCTTGTTGAGCTCTGTGTTCTGTGTGTGTGTGTGTCTCACCCGTACTCCGAAGAATGCTTCGGTGAGATTTCTCTACTTTGAGCATGCGCCATGCTTTTACCTTTGCTTCAAACATCAGAGGAAGAAGCACAATCAACTTAATACAGAAGTAGTAGTACCAACAGTACCAACAGCTACTAAAGACAACCAAATTCTGCCGTCTGCATCTGCGCTCCAAACCCCACACCCCGAAGACCACCTCGCGCATTCCTCAACCCGAATTCAGTGCGCTTTAGGGACCCCACTCTAACGAACCCCTCAGCGGACCCCCAGGTGACATGTGACAACTGAGGCTCCAGAACTGGGCTTCCTGCCCGTAGCCGTAGCTTCGGCGGTCGAAGCGGACCTCGCGTCGGTCGCCTGGCAAGAACATGCAAGAACCGAATCGCAGGCATTTCCGAAGTCCCGGAGAGCAAGGAGACGGTTGAGGGTACTGAAAGAGGCATTGAGCTTTCGGTGAGAGTTTCAAGGGCTTTTAGGTTTTCTTTCTGCTCCTCAGGAGCTCGGCCTGCGTCACTCTCGCTGTGCCGGTTACTCTCCTGACCAGAGGCGATGAGTATTCACGGGAAAGTGTTGGCCGAGGGCTTGCGCGACAAGCATGTTGGCAGCTTCCCAGAGAAGTCGTGCAGAACATGCAGAACATCATAGAACATGATAGAACATTGCAGTGCACAGAACAATACAGAGCACACTTGCTCGTCCTTGGATGTAGAGCCTGACCGGTCCGGAGTCTTCGCACCCTGCCGATCTGCAGACAACGATTTACAACAACGATACAACAAAGATGGCGACGGTAAGGACAGTAAGGAGGGAGCCCCAACGGAAGAGAAGAAGAGAGAACCCCCGTTTTAAGGGCGAGCAAACGGTCTGCGGATGGGCTCCTTATAAATTCCCAGACTCTCAATTCTTCGTTTGGGCGGAGAATAGCGATCTCGAATTGTCGTTCATTCGTTCCAAGGTCCCCAGAGGCTGAGGGCGCCTTTTCGATCTTGTCACGCTTCCGTTCCAGAAACGACAGGCTGCACAGCCTCACAAAGCAAAACAACAGCTACCAAGAGAAACGCCGCATGTCGCAACCATACTCTCAATTATCTTACTGCTTCTTGCGATTTATCATGATCTATTGATGGCGAAGCTGCCCAGAAACATCAAGCCGCGCAATAACGTGACGTAACCGCCAGAGCCCCAAACTTTAAACCCGTGCTGGGCACAACTTAAACAAGAGGTGGCAGCTTCCTCAAGGCAAGGAGCAGGTTCCCAAGCTCCTCAGGAATGGAAGAGTCATGGAAAAGGTTCTGAACATGGGCCCCTGCCTTTGCAGTGACAAGATGCTTGAATTCACGAGAAGCTATGGTTTCGTGTAGACATCCGCTTAGATGACGACTACTGGCATCGTTAAGCCACAAACTGCGAAACGATGTCTAGGATGTTGAAAGTTCAGGTAGACCCCATGCTGCGCACTCATGTGGACGATTTTCCCTGGCTTCAGGAAAACTTGTATGCTGACTTTGGCAACAAGTCTTCAGTCTCCTCATGGGTCTGTTGGCAGCGTGTGAGCAGGTCGGTGGCGTGGCTGGTGTCGGCGTCCGGGGCAGGAGGCGGGCAGGGCAGTTTCACTGTGCAACAGCCCGCCAGCGACATGGCGCCTACAGCTCCACCTACAGTACTACGCTGTACACACTCTCTCCTGTCTCCTCCTTGTGCCTGCTTGTGTCGGAGTCGGAAACTACCTTTGTCGATTGCTGCATTCGGTGAGTCGCGCTAAAGTTGCTGAAGCTGACTGCCTGAGCGTCTTGGTTCGAATTCGCCTGCAAAACAGCAGCACGGGTCTTGCCCGACCTGCGCGCGCCCCGGCCCTGGCTGCCCTTCGGGCGCCCTTTGGTCGGGTTAAAGGTGCGCGTGCAATCGCTGCGTCCAACCTAATCTAACCTAATCCATCTGGTGAATCTGGTGATCAAGGGGAAATATGTGGAAATAGAGGAGATGGAGCCCAAGCAGTGGATTGCACGCGTTCAAAACTGGCAGGCTATGCACGACTGGGTCCTCTTTTGAGCCACAAAGCCAGGAAATTCTCTGGAAGCACACGGAGTGTGCGGTGAGCATGAAACGACAGGGCACCATGGTCCCTTTTGTGTTTCTCAAACGCACATGTGCTGAAGGCCTTCTTGTCCCTCGGCTCTAGGGTGAGAAGCGCGAGGCTCGGTCAGTGAGATGCGCCGTTTAGGAATCACAACTCCTTCCACCCTTCTCCCCTCCTGCATTTCAACTGGACTTCACCGGCGGAGCCCGCAACGATAAGAATCAGCACGTCGTGCATCACTGCAAGCGTGCCAGCAGCATCGGGAACCCGTCACGTCGCCTCGAGCGTTGACAGGCCCAGCTGCATCATTGTCGGATGCCCACATGTTTCGGGCATCTTGGGCACTTCTGCTTCAGAGGAACGCTGAGAACAACCGGGAATAAAACGGAATTGGTTCAGCCTTTCGGAACTTCAGCCATGCAGAGATATTGAGACTGATGTTCCTCCAGAGGCCTGGGAGCACCCTCCCCAGCGGCTCAGATCATTGGGCACTGGCGCTCGCGGACATAGCGCCCTCAGCCATGCCACTCCGCAGAGACCAATTGAACTGTTGCGGATCGCTTCTGCCTGGCCGAAGAAGGCGACCAAAGCAGTGGTATTGTCCGTGGAACCTGGCAATCTCTATGCTCACAGTAGCTCCCAGATCCCAAAACAGCTTTCTTTTGCCACGATTTGCAGGCAAAACTTGGCCCTGCCTAGGTCCTAAGAAGTCCTTGGACCACAGATCACACGAAAGCAGAACAAAGCAATTGGGAAGTGTGTGGTAAGTGTGTGGTGGCTTTCGCCATTCGTGGCAAACCCCTATCTTGCGAACAGTGAGATCGTGCCGAGAGGACCCCGCAAGCATGTTGGAATATCTGCAGTTTTGGAGCAAGGCTGTTCCTACCAGCATACTGTAAAAACGAGTATGCAAGTACGCAACAACAATGCAGCAGTTGAAAGACGGAGGGTCCGAAACAGGCATCGGGGTACAAAGCAGCAATAGGGCGACACACCTGGAACGGCCAAACTGCAGACACTGCTCCTTGGAAGCCGGCGCAGAGAGGACAGAAGATGAGAAAGCATGCAACAAGCTTCTAACCGATTCTAGCCAAGGCCAGCTTGCACTGGTCTGGCTGGCAGCACAGCTCTTCCCCAAACAGAACACCCCAATATAACCGCCTGCACGGAGGGCTGCCTTGATCAGAAGCTCGGGTGCCTGGTGACAGCTGCAGTTGCTCTCTTCGTCCACACAAGCTCCACAGGACTCAGAACCTCCGCCTCAGTTAATAAGCCTTACACTAGGCTCGCGAACATGAGCGCCCAAAACAGTAGAAGTCCTTCAGCAACACAATAGTCTTGCTTCTCCAATAACCAAGACCAAAAAAATGGTTTCACTGTCTTATTCAAAAAAAGTTCGAGTGTGTCGGGAGCGGGGGGGCGGTAAACTGTCCCCCAACATGCCCTGCGTGCCCCACAAATGCAGCTTGCCCCACTTGCCCCCAGCCCTGCAACCTCCACCACTTGATCACATGTTGGTTGATCCGGGGGCCGCCATCTCTGCGGAAGTCGGGAGCTTCAAGCGATCATCCCAAGCCTTGGACCCAAACCGTCATACCCGGCCATACCCTGAAGATGGAGGCCATGATCGGGCTTGGGGTTTCGAAACCTCAAACCCCGTAACCAATGCCCATCTGCCTTGTCATGGGTACGCTCGGCCACACTGCGCTCGACAACGGCCCTGGCATCGCTGTCGGCCCTGGCACGAATTACAGACATATATTGAGATATACTGAGGTATACCGCTTATTCGAGTATTCAAGAGTCCCGACTCGGGTTTGACGTGAAGCAACACTCCTGCCTTCCTGCGTAAACTGCATTTCGGCGAGAAGAATACTTGCAAAGAAACATGCTTTGCATAAAAAGAGTGCATCCTCATCCTTGTTAACGGCTTTTGACAGCCTTTGTCTTCTCCAAGTCCCTCTCCAATTCGGCCATTGCCGACTGAGCCCGCCACATCACGTCCCACAAGCCATCGCTGGCAATGACTAACACTGCATCCTGCAAGCGCTTACGACAATTTACGAAACACTTTTCTTAAAACAGATTGTTGTGGACACAACAAGTGAAGAGGCGATACTCACAGCCTGGGGGACCTCGCGCGTGGAAACGTGTGGGTGCCAAGACACGCCTCGACACCACAAATCTCATGGTCACGCTTTCTCACACCTACATCTCCGATTCGTCTCCTATCCCAATGCTGCGCATTGCTGCGCAACTTGCACCAATGCTGGTTGGATGTCCTAGAACGGAATACCTTGCGAAAATTGTCGTCGCAGGATTCGATGCGGGGAGTCTCTGGGAACTGTTGGCTCGATGTCGTCTCCTGTGCCTTGAAAGCTTTCGGATGATTGTGCTGAGGGCAAGATGTCTCATGTTGACGGAGTCGCGGTCTGTCTCAAGGAGATCTTCACACCATCGACGAACACTGTCCTACCGGAAGCGTTAGGTTATGCTACGGCGGCGTGTCCACAGAGCACACAAGACTGGTGAGATTGCCGCGAAACGAACTCAAGACCCTCGACGTGACACACCAGGCACCCGGCCCACAGACTTCAGCGAGTGGTCCCCCAGCGCACGGCTGACCCCAAGTTGGCCTCAACTCAAATGCAAGAGGCCAGGCCAACATAGGTCAAACGCTTTCTTGACCTCTAAAGCCACTGTAGCTTATGTCCATGGCTTACAAGGATGGAACTGCCGATGAAAATGAATGAAGCTATCCGATGGCTTGGGGCCTTGTCTGCAGGAACTGCAGGCCCTGCGGTTTGCTCCGCCCCTGTTTGTGGCCACTGATTCCAGTGTTGGCTTGCTAGACAGTCGTGCGAAGTCAACTGAACAGATCTTTCCCCCCATGCAATCTGAATTGCTTTACCCCTCACTGGATACGTTGGAGGCTTGAGAACAGAAATCATGATCATGAAACACCAGAGAACAGCCGCGTTTACCTGAGGCAGTTTCCAACCACCCTGCCACGCGCCACAAAGCCACCTCACAAGATGTCGCAGGAGAAAAACTCAATCTCATGTTTCAACCTGTTCAAATCTGGCTGAAAATGATTTCAATATACTTGAATTTTACATATAATTTCTTGTATATATTCAAAAAGATAGAATCATCATCCTTTCCACTAAATCTTAATGACTAATTATTTATAAATTATCGTATTATTTAATTGTTTTGAATTAATTATCTTTTGTAAAAAGTGCTTATGAATTTCTTAAACGTTTTTCTTTCCTCTTTGCAATAACATTTTCCTTATTTTTGGCAGAATTGCCACATGAGCATCCAGGCATTGCCTGAGCGACCTAGAACTGAGGCTCTAAGATTCGAGTGCAGTGTACCGTTGCCTATCTCATGCCTACCTTCTTGTTGAAAGAACTGCTCTCCGGTCATGCCACAACGTACACGTGGCTTCGAACAAACTCGAAACAGAAGCTGGACACTCGAAAGCCGATGCTCCAACATGTTCCAGCCTTCAGCTTCCACCCGCTGGATTTCAGCAGGATCGGTCGGCCTGAATGCCGAGTCAACTTGCCGAATGCCGCAGACTCGAGGATGTGCAATGATGTGCAATGATGATGGCTCTGAAGGAAAACTTGAAAGAGGTCCTGAAACGCTGCTAAACAGCGACACTACTGTCATCATCTCTGCCACACGCCACACGCCCGCCCGATATCTGTCGGGGGCTCCATCTCGCTATATTTGGTTCGGCCTGGACCTGTGTAACTGCTGAGCCGCATGATAGAATCCTCACAAGCTATGTCCAGATAGGTCCAGCTACTGTACATTTTTGCAGATCTGCGGGATGCGCCTGTGGTCCCGAGTGAGCCGGCACTCGCCTCAGCTGTCAGTTCTTCGTCGACTTCCGAATGCGGATACCTGTTTGTCCTTGGTGGCCGGCTGCCGGAGTCCAGAACGATGGCCCGGGAGTCCCCGACATTTGCAGCCTCTTCAGCTCTGCCAGCACTTGTGGAAGATTGCGCAAATGAGCGAAAGAAAAGTCTAGCAAGTCTAGATGCAGCTTGATGCAGCTTGATGCAGTGGGTCGGGCAGTGTTGGCGTGCCCAGGCAGCACTCAAAGCAAAAGTGCGATATTACATGCACGGGATCGCTCTCTTGGGGCGCCAGGCATGCAGGCGCATTTGTCCTGCTGGCGTACGGTGCGCCAAAACCTTGGCAGGGGGAAGACAGCGAAAGGGAGAGGGAGAGATAGAGGGAGAGAGAGAGAGAGAGGGAGAGAGAGAGAGAGACAGGGACACGGACAGGGACAAGGGCAGAGACAGGGACAGGGACAGGGACAGGGGCAGGGGGCAGAGACAGAGACAGAGACAGAGAGAGAGAAAGAGACAAAGAGACAAAGCGAGAAAGAGAGAAAGAGAGACAGAGAGAGATAAAGAGAGATACTGAGAGGTGGGTGATTTAACATATCTTTCGGCAGGGCACCACGGTGGCAGTGCAGCCGCATCGCCAGGTGCCCAACAACCTTACAGAAACAGGAGGGAAACAAGACTCAAAAGATGTTCAGCATACTGGCCGGAGCGACGTGGCTCGTGACGTGGCCAAGGGTGGGGCTTCAGCTGCTCGTCCACCCGGCGAAAGGCCCTGCCGCGGTTTCCACGGTTTGCGCGGTTTCCAAGACCAGGAGGAATGAGCTGAATCTGAATGCATCTGATTCCTGAAGAGCACATCGGCAACGGTGTCGTCCGCCACAGGTTCCCCGGCCAACCTACGCAGGCGCAGTGCGAGTTTTGACATCGCTCGGGGCAGAAGTTCTTTCGAGTCGATGGCAGAAGCATGCGGAAGCATGCGGAAGCCTGGTAACATTGAGAAGCTCATCCAACACCAGGCCGTGGAGCTTCGCCTCGCGAAGGAAAACGAAACAAAATGGGCAAAGGGTGCCGCTGTTTTGGCTTTACATTGAGCCGTTTCTGGTTCCACACATTTCCACACCCTAGGACACAGGAATACTCACGAATCACGACCAAGATAGGCACAGCTCCCCGCCTCGCAGAAGTCCACAGCCTGCCGCCCGCCGTGTCCATCGTAGACGGCAAAATAGCCCCACAGCTCGCCGTCTGGCTCCGCCTCAGCTGCCAAAACAGGTCCAAGACTACACATCTTGAAGTCTTGCCAAGTCTTGCCAAGTCTTACGTCATTCTCCCTTTCTCATCCGCATTTGAAAGCCAGGCGCCAGGAGCGGGTCAATGACCACGGAGCTGTCCTTACACAGCAAAGCTGTTTTTCTGAGAAGATTGGGAGAAAAGTGAAATGAAGAGAGAAGGCTCCGAGAGCGAGATGCAATGGCCCAAATCCCCTTTATAGGTCCTCCATGTGCGCCCGGAAGGCTGCATTGGCTTCGGACGCGGCCCTCAGCTCAGCAGACTTGCCGCAGTGCAGCCCACAGTGCAGCCCGCGGTGCGGCTCGCGGTGCGGCTCAACCTCTCACAAAGTTCCACACAAAGCGGAGCGTGCCTGCAGAGGTTGGCAGTTGTCCGTGGCGCTGCGACCTCGAAGCGGCTTTGGACAAGCAGAATGCTTGGCAAAGGACAGGGGCATGGTGGAATGCTGTGGAATGCTGGGCGGGTCTTCACATGTCTTCACGACGGGAGTGTTCCTGGTCCAAGCTGCTGTTCTAAACTGTCAAGGCTTTCTGAGCTTTCGCTGGGGCGACCGCCGCTCTGCTAACAGCTTTGGGCCTGGCACCATGAATGAAACCCCACTGCTGATGTTGCCACGGCCACAGTGGGTTTTTTGATGAGTCGCAAGGCATTGGGAGGCTCATCGGCTTGCAACCACAAAAGAGAACCCTTCGTCTCTCCAAAAATCCTCAGCTACATGTAGCTTCATGTAGCTGAGCAGCAGCTCGGACCGATAAGCAATTTTGACCACTTTCCGATTTGCGATGCCTCTGCCGGCTCGGAGGCGCCTCAGCACTATTTATAATGAATTTTCAGCGAGAGAAAGAAGCACGCAGAGCTGAGCTCTTTCAGATACTGTTTTTTGCAGGGATGCTTTTATTGGGGGGGCGGGCGGGGACGGGGGCTCAAGAGGGAGGGGGGAGGGGAGCGGTGGCCCTCCAAGGTGTTTCCCAAACTCCTTTTAGTGGTTCTCGGCCTCCCATCATCTCCTTGCAGAGCATTAGGCTTAGGGGTTTCCCAGTCCAAGGGTCTACCACTCAGCTTCTCTGTTTATGTTGGAGTTTCCCCCCAACAGTTCACGGCCTCTCCTTGCCGGGATTAGGGTCTCCCAGCCAACATCTCTTTTTGCGGGTTCGGACTGGTTGCAAGGGTTTCGGGGCTTGTGGCTTCTCACCCAACATCTCCATGGGGAGATGTCACAAGCTGCACATAGCGACACGGATGAAGACAAAGTGCCACTTTGCAGATGTCACGAGAAACCCCTCTTCCCTTCAGGGCTCATGGATTTCATAAAGTGCCTGCTGTGCACCAAGCGTCAGCTTGTCAGCGCAAGTTACGGTTCAGAATGTTCAGATCTGACCGGATAGCAAGTTCCCCAAGGCTCTTCTGACAATCCTGTCCCAACAGGTGCCTTCGCTGCCGAATGACACCGCCCCAAAATGGAAGACCGGTGCTAAGCAAAACTCGACCACTTCCCCCCATTCCTGAGAAGTCCGAAAGCTGTTCCTATGACTCGAGCTGTTCTTGGGCTGATGCCTGGGACAGCCGCTCCAAGTTTGCTGCGCGCCTCAAGTGTGGAGAACACCCAAACCGAGGTCGCTGCCAGATTTGTCGTTCTCCTACACTAGGTCTGGCAGGCTCCTCAATCTGCCAACACATGTGACTTTGATGGGCTGGGAGCTCCATCCGCATACCGCATCTCAGTGTACATCCAAGCTGAGAAAGAACTAAGTTTAAATCACATCTGTCTCTCTCTGTCCTGCTGGAACACACTGTGACCACGTCTCGCACCGCTACATCTACAAAACAGACAGACGATGGCGCTCAATGCCCTCGACCAACTTGAGGCACTAGCGCGCCGAACTCGACCCCCACTGAAGATAGGGTGCCAAAACATGCCACGACCGCACCTCAAAAGGAATTCAGTCCTCCCCACGCCCCAAAGTTTCAGCCTGACCGAGCCAAGAAGCTCCTGCAGGCTTCCTCGGCGGCGCGCTCCCCGGTAGCTGGCGCCTCTGAATCCAGGGCTTCAGAACTGCAGAGCGCCGTAAGGAAGGTCATTTGTGCCCACGATAAAGGGCTTTTAAGTTGTGATTGCTGGTCCTGTGAGACACACACACACACACACATCTAAAAACACAAGGTCATTCGGTTTGCCGAATCCCGCGGCAAATCCGGCGACACATCACTTTCAAAGCAGCAAATCAGCATGAATCAACAACAACGAGGCGACTGCGGCGCGGGCCCGCCGAGGCACTCGAGGCACTCGCCTCTCGGCGCCGCGAGGGCTCCTCAAAGCAACTGGGAGGAGGGGAAAGATGAAAAGATGGGGGCAGTTCCTTTGCACTGGGAAGGCCCAAGGCGATTGAGAAGTATCAAGCAGAATGGAGTCGCCTCCGCCCGTCAAGACCCCTATGGAAGAACTATTGACCCTTTGGACAGTGCCTATGGACGCCTATGCCTATGAGCTCCGCATTGCGCTGTATGGTCCTTTCATGGAACTCCACAACATCTACCCCCTTGATTGGACGCCCTAACCCCCTGCGTGGACTTCGGAATCTTCAGAGACTGACTTTGTCAAGCTGAAACAGTAGCCTGAAATGACAGTGACAGATACGTCCAGCGACAGAAATAGAAGCAGAGAGAGAGGGAGAGCGAGAGCGAGAGCGAGAGCGAGAGCGAGAGCGAGAGCGAGAGCGAGAGCGAGAGCGAGAGCGAGAGCGAGAGCGAGAGCGAGCAAACGCCGCGCAGACATCGGCTCGGCCCGCGGCGAGCTGGTCTTCAGCTTCGCGTGCCCTGAGGGGAGCGGGACTCGTAAACAAACGAGACATAACGCGAGAACACAACCCTGAAATCGCAGGCGCCTCGACAGCCTTCTCTGTCCCGTCGGCGTGGGGACTTGGTTCGGGAGTCCCTGAGCCACGACACATTCACACAGCACGGAGCACAACACCAAAACATTTACGATCTCCATACAGCTGGGGTCACAACGCGAGACGGAGCCCGCTCCGCCCGCTCTCGTTGGGAGGACTCAGCCTCTTTCGAAAAAGCCGCGGCAGTCCATGGCTTCGAGAAGTTTTTGAAAGCACAGGCCGGCAGGATCCCGCAACATCCACAAAGCAAAAAGCAAAGACCTGCCCAACACATCCTAGCACCCTTCTCCAGAGTCTTCGCTACGCCTTCCACGCACCATCGCCACGGCTCCAGGCTGCCTCTGCTCCATTCAGGAAAGGGATATCTCAGGGGAGATTTCGAGATTTCTACGCTGCGGTTATCCGGCGCGTGCATCAAGAGGATGCTGGATGGGTTTACGGCTTAGGGGACAACACGTGGCCTCGGTCCGGGCAGCTGCAAGGTCCAGCACCTTTCTAAATCTTCCCCAGCAACCCACAATCAAGCAGCTCAGAGCGCACCCAGTGGCCTTGGGCTCAGCTTTGTCCTGTAAAGGAGGCAGCGACAGAAAAAATGAACGGCACTTGAACTACATCATGTTGAGGTCGTCGAAATCGTTAAGTCGACAAAAACTCCATAAGCCCCTTTTGCACCCTTGACGTGAGCCTCCTTGCCAGCTCGCAGCGTGGACGGCGTCGGCGACTGCCTGCAGGTGTTCACGCTCCTGCAAACACTGCCTGCAAATTTGAAGATGAAAATCTGAGGGCTTGGCTGCGACAGGGATGCGAGAAGCGTGCGGCCAACGGCCCTCACCTCACCCGCCGGGCATCAATAAACAACAGACATGTCAACAGGGCTCGGGTGACCGAGATAGCCCAACATAGCCCAACTCTCCACATCCTGTCGGGTGCCCGGCCGCACGCTGGCCGTCATGCGCGGCCATTCTCCGGGCTCCTTCAAGGCGGAATAAAATGGCGTGCAGTTCGCAGTCTTCCGTTCACCGTTCACCGTGAGAATCATGTTCTCAGGTTAAATAGCATTGACCCCGTAGCCGGCCTTGCAGCAACGTGGCCGTAACGGCCTTCAACGCATGGCGCAGCTGTGCCTTTCAGGGTTTTTCCAGGAGTCCATTCTGAACATACCTTTGCTGACAGTGCCGGGGGCCTCTTTGTGCAAGGCAAGGTGGCGGCCAGGAACTCGAGCCAATGCCGCCAGCTAAACCAATAAGACGCCCAAGCTTGACATTGACACACACACACACACATTGAGGCCTTCACGGCTACGGTCTTACAATCGAAACCTTGAGTAGCCGGCGCTGAGGTTCCAATGAATCAGCCCAACAAACATGGTTAATCATCGCAGTCGTCATTTGGATATTTAATTCAACACAATCTCAATCTGTTAATCGATCTATAATATTCAAGCAACCATATGTTACTGCACCGCTACTACAATTTGAAAAAGTACGAATATTATATAAAATAGTATTATTGAAACAAGTAGTCGACTGATTGATTTGTAATGATTTTATATCTTTTATTTCACCAATATCACCATCTAATATTGTTTTTGTTTCATCACCAATAATACGATCATCAATACTACTTTCATTACCATAAAAACTACCATAAATTGATATACTATTTTTTGCATTTATTATAAAACACTGACTACGAGATGATGTTTCTGGATAATACTGACCACTAGATATCCATATTTCATCACCATTTTCATTCAAAGATCATATCTAAAATGGTAAAAAAGTGACTACTCTAAATAGTTTACTTTAATAGGCTGTTCTGGATAAATTAAGTTAAAGTCCAGATTTTTTTACCTATTGTTTAAATTTTTTAGTCTTAATTTCAGGCAAAAATTAATCAATCTTCACTCATATAGGATTAAAATTGAGGCTGGCATAGATAAAATTTTACTGCTATATATGCTAGTATCCAAATAAATAAAGCAAGGTGCAAATTAACAACTTAGATATAACTAACTTAGTTTCAAATAGAAAGATTATGATAGCATCTAAATCTATAGGCAAACAAGGTGAAAGCATGGCATTAAATTATTGTAAAAATAAAGGCTTTACAAAAAAGGCAAATAATTATCGTTTCAAACAAGCAGAGATTGATCTTATTTTTCAAGAAGAAGAGTTAACTTATTTTTATGGAAGTAAAGTCTCGTAGCCATGTTAATTTTGGTTACCCAGAAAGCTTTGTAAATACGCAAAAACAACGCTTATACCATTTAGCTGCTAATGAGTATATAGAAGAAACAGGCTGGCAAGGGAAGATAAGATTTGATGTTGTAGCTATTTATAAAATAGGCAACAAGCAGCACTTAGATCATTTTGAAGACGCCTTTTGCTAAGTAAATCGAAACTTCTATTTTAGTGATTTTTAAATCTTGATTTGTATGAATCGTGAAGCACTAAATAGACTCAAAGCTCAAATAGAATCCTTAAAACTACATCTTTGACTACGATCATTTATTAACCAATCTACAAAAAGAAGAAAAACAAAC